ACTACCATACGACCCAGCAATCCCACTACTGGGCATATACCCTGAGAAAACCATATTTCAAAAAGAGTCATGTACCACAATTTTCACTGCGGCACTATTTACAATAGCCAGGACATGGAAGCAACCTAAGTGTCCATCAACAGATGAATGTATAAAGAAGATGTGGCACATATATGCAATGGAATATTACTCAACCATAAAAAGAAACAAAACTGAGTTATTTGTAGTGACGTGGATGGACCTAGAGTAAGTCAGAAAGAGAAAAACAAATACCATATGCTAACACATATATATGGAATCTAAAAAATATATATGGTTCTGAAGATGCTAGGGGAAGGATGGGAATAAAGATGCAGATGTAGAGAATGGACTTGAGGACACAGGGAGGGGGAAGGGTAAGCTGTGATGAAGTGAGAGAGTGGCATTGACATATATACACTACCAAATGTAAAATAGCTAGCTAGTGGGAAGCAGCTGCATAGCACAGGGAGATCAGCTCTGTGCTTTGTGACCACCTAGAGGGGTAGGGTAGGGGGTGTGGGAGGGAGACGCAAGAGGGAGGGGATATGGTGATATATGTATACGTATAGCTGATTCACTTTGTTATACAGCAGAAACTAACACAACATTGTAAAGCAATTATACTCCAATAAAGTTTAAAAAACTGGTGTTAGTACAACCAGATAGCCACTTACAAATGAATAAAGTTAAACCCTTATTTCATACTATAGGAAAAGATTAACTCAAAACAGATCAAAGACCTAAATGTAAGAGCTAAAAGTATAAAATTCTTAGAAGAAAACATAGGGGTATATCTGCGTGACCTTGGATTTGGCAATGAATTCTTAGACATGATACCAAAAGTACAAGCAACTAAGCAAAATATAAACTGTACTTCATTGAAATGCAAAACTTTTGTGCTTGAAAGGACAGTATCAAGAGAGTGAAAAGACAACCTACAGAACTGGATTACAAGGACTTCCCTGGTCGTCCAGTGGTAAAGAATCCACCTTACAATGCAGAGGACGCGGGTTTGATCCCTGGTAAGGGAACTAAGATCCCACATGCGGCGGGACAACTAAGCCCGTGTGCCACAACAACTGAGCTCGCACGCCAACTAGAGAGCCTGCGTGCTGAGACTACAGAACCCACCCGCTCTGGAGCCTGGGCGCCACAACCAGAGAGAAGCCTGCATACCGCAATGAAAAATCCCGCGTGCTGCAACTAAGACCCAACACAGCCAATAAATAAATAAATAAATAAATATTTGCCTTGATCGGTTTTTTAAAAAAAGAATTGGATTACATATTTGCAAATCATATATCTGATAAGAGACGTGCATCTAGACTACACCAAAAACTTTTACATCTCAATACTAAAAGGACAATAAAATAACACAATTTAAAAATTGGCAACTGATCTGAATAGAAATTTCTCCCGAGAAGATATACAAATGGCCTATAAACTTATGAAAAGAGGTTTATCCTCATTATTCATCAGGGAAATGCAAATCAAGACTACAGTGCAGTTGTAGTTCATAACACTAGGATGACTAGAATAAAAAATCAGATAAAAGCAAGTCTGTGTAGGGGAGTTCCCAGGTGGTCTAGTGGTTAGGATTTGACACTCTCACTGCCATGGTCCGGGTTCAATCCCTGGTCGGGGAACTGAGCTCCTGTAAGCCACGTGGCATGGCCAAAAAAAAAAGTGTAAGGATGTGTAAAAATAGGAACCATCATACACTTCTGGTGAGGATGAAAAATTGTGAAGCCACTGTGGAAAAAAGTCTGGCAGTTCTTCAAAATATTAAACATAGAGTTACCATGTGAATCACCAATTTAATTCCTAGGTAAATACCCAAGAGTAACGGAAACATGTCCAAGCAAAAGTTATACATGAATGTTTATAGCAACGTTATTCACAATATCTAAAAGGTGGAAACAATCCAAATGTCCATCACCTGATGAAGGGATAAAGAAAATTGATACAAAACAAAAATATTCCATACAAGGGAATATTATTCAGTCATAAAAAAGAATGAAGTATTAATACGTGCTAAAACATGGAAGAACTTTTAAAAATAAACTTATTTCATTTATTTATATTTGGCTGCGTTGGGTCTTCATTGCTGCGTGCGGGCTTTCTCTAGTTGCAGCGAGCGGGGGCTACTCTTCGTTGCGGTGTGTGGGCTTCTCATTGCGGTGGCTTCTCTTGTTGTGGAGCACAGGCTCTAGGTGTGCCGGCTTCAGTAGTTGTGGCTCGTGGGCTCTAGAGCACAGGCGCAGTAGTTGTGGTGCACAGGCTTAGTTGCTCCGCAGCATGTGGGATCTTCCTGGACCAAGCCTCGAACCCGTGTCCCCTGCACGGCAGATGACTCTTAACCACTGTGCCACCAGGGAAGCCCATGGAAGAACTTTGAAAAACATTATGTAAAGTGAAAGAAATCAGTCACAAGAGGCCACATATTGTTTGATTCCATTTATATGGAGACAACAATAGATTAGTAGGTGCATGGCATTGGGGAGATGAAGGTATAGGGGGATGATAGCTAAAGCATATGGGGTTTCTTTTGAGTTGATGAAAGTGCTCTAAAACTGACTGTGGTGATGATCACTCTTATCTGTGCATACACTAAAAACGACTGAATTGTACACTTTAAATGAGTGAGTTGTATGTTATATGAATTATATCTCAATAAAACTGTTATTTCTTAAAAATGATAAGAATACTTTAAGAGGATCCAAAAGCTAACCTATGATAGCTCTCAATGCCCAAACACAAAACAATTTGAGCAACATAATAGTATTGGATGAAATTAAAAGAGTGAGGGAAAAGGAACTGACCTAAAAACAAAAGGGAGCAACCACATGAATGAATCTTAAATGAATTTTGCTAAGCCAAACCCAGGAGATACATATAATTCCATTTGACATTCTGAAAAGGGTAAAATTATAGAACAGAAGACAGATCAGAGAGTGCCAATGGTTGAGTGAGAAGGTGGGTTGAATAACCATGGTTGGGAATAAAATAAATATCCATACTGATATAAATAAATGATGTAATAAATAAATGCTGGAAATGAAAGTTTTCCCTTACAGGGGATTCCCAGTTAATAAATATAGAAGAAAGAGGTGAAATATAAAATCACCAATTGGAACACCACAGTAATAACTGTTGCAGGCAAGATCTACCAGTGAAAGCTAAAATTAGTGGCCAAAACTCTAAGTAGGAATAGTATATTTGCATAGCCTTAAAGGTTCTCGCCCCAAATTTACTAATAAATGTGGTGATTTAAAAATATGACCCTAAATTTGAGATGGAGCTTATTCTGCTCCCACTGAGTGCACTGGACTTAGTAACCCACCCCTAAGTATAGATTGGAAAGGGAAAAATCCTAAAGATATAGTGGAGAAACCTGTCAGACACCACCTTCACCAAGCAACCAAGGTTAATATAAGTTGTGTTGATATCATGTGTCCCCTCATATATAGGTAGGACACATCCTCTCTGTGGTATTCTTTCTAAAAATTTATAACCTCAGTCCAATCAGGAGAAAACATCAGACAAACTCAAAGTCAGGGACATTCTTCATAATATCTGACCACTATTCTTCAAACATCTGAAGGTAATGAAAGACAAGGAAAGACCACGAAACTATTGCAGATGGGACGAGACCAAACAGACTTGATGATTAAACGTACTGTGGTATCCTGGATTGAATCCTGGATCAGTAAAAGCGCATTAATGAAAAAACTGATGAACTCTGAATAAACTCTGTAGTTTAGTTGATACAATTGCACCCGTATCACTTTCTTAGTTTTGGTAAATGTACCATGGTTATGTAAAATGTTAACAATTAAAGGGACTTCCCTGGTGGTCCAGTGGTTAAGAATACGCCTTCCAATGTACGAGACTTAGGTTTGATCCCTGGTGGGGGAACTGAGATCCCACATGCCACAGGGCAACTGAGCCCCCATGCACGCGCAACTAGAGAAATCCTCACGCTGCAACGAAGGTCCCATGTGTGCCGCAACTAAGACCTGATGCAGCTGAATAAAAATAAATAAATAAATGTTAACAATTAGGTGAAACTGGGTGAAGAGTATATGGGAACTATCTTTGCAACTCTTCTGTAAATCTGAAGTTAGTAAAAAAAAAAGTTAAACGACATTGATCAAAAAGAGTTAACTACATATTCTTTTATGAAAAGTTCATCATAAAATAATACACCCATATGCTCATACTGTGCTAAAAATGTCATGAGGATGCCCACATAAAAGAATGTATATTTGGTTCCAGGTAAAGCATTTCTGAGAGATGATAAAGTGCTTTCTTCGTAAGTTTGGTGTGTGAACAGTTTCTTACATAGGAACAGTTTTTATTATTAATACTGAATTGCTAGGTTGCTTTTTTCCTCATTCCGGAGAATAACTAGGCTGCTCACAGATATTATTTTAGTTTACATAGATTTATTGTCTAAACTATAGAAGATAAATTTATCAAAACTAAAATAACATCTGTCCACGTTCATAAATTAAATTCATGTACCACTTTGCTTCTCTTGGTTTGTGTCTAGTCGAAAACGCACACTGCTTTGACATACATCTCTGGGACACGGACAGAATCCAGGGTCCAGGTAGCAGGAGTGAATATATCAGATAGTAATATCTCAATCCAGTCAACAAGGCAGAAACTCTGCAGCTGATTTCTAAAGGACTGCGCATGGCGTATACTGGGCAAGGTAATCTTAAGAAACGTACTGAACAATTTATATGCCAGACGCCATCCTAAGTGCTTTTACAATGAAAACGCCCTTAATCTTCATAAAAACCGTTAGCTAGGTACTGTACTACTATTAGCTTACTTTTGTACAATTTAGGAGTGAGGCATTGCTTCTAAAGGTAGAGCCACTTTTCCAACCCAAGCTGCCAGAAGCCAACTTCCAACTCGCCGCCACCGCGCCACGCCGCTCCCTCCCTCTGCGCATGTGCATCCCCGCCTTCTCCTCCCGGCTCGTCCTTCCCCGGCCTCCAGCCCCTCGTGGGAAACAATCCCTGGCCTCCAGGTCCACGCGGCGAGGGAGCTGCGGGTGAGCCCCAGAGGGTGGGGGCGAGGGCCAAGGGGACCCCGTGCGGCTCGGGGAGCCGGCGGGGGCAGCGGTGCCGGGTGGTAGGTTGGAGCCCCGCGAACATCGGCAGGACCCCAGGAGTCTGCGGCGCCTGCAGAACTGAAGGGACTGCAGGCGGCGGCGCCTCTGCCTGGAGAGGCCGGAGTCCCGCGCGGGAACGCGGACTCTCGGGCTCGCTCGGCCCTCAGCTCTTCAGCCCTTGAGCTGAGCGGGCGGCGCCGTCGTGTGGCCGCCCGTGGGGAGTGCGCGTGCGTGACGTGTGCGCTAGGCCCGCGGGGAGGGAGCGGGGTTGTCAAGGGGAGAGCGCGTGCGTGACGTGTGATCTGGGCCTGCGGGGAGGGGCGAGGAATGCGGGGAAGAGCGAGTGCGCGTGCGCGACGTGTGTGTGTGTGTGTGTGTGTGTGTGTCTCTCTCTGTGTGTGTCTGTCTGTGTGTGTGTGCGCGCGCGTGTGTGTGCTTTACGTAGTGACGTGCTGGGATTACGGGGCGCAGGGAGGATGTGGGAGAGAACGACTGCCCCAGGAAGGGGCTCGGAAATACATGAATTTCCTGGACCAAATAGCCGCTGGGAGATTTGTCTTGCTTAGCTGTAAAATGCGGATATCTAGAGTGCTCGCCGCACTGTGTTGTTTTGAGCGCTCACGTTTTGTTGGCTGCTGTTGTATTTAATTGTTTTGTATGTAATACAGGCGGCTGGAGCTTGGATAAGTCTCTAGGGCCTCCATTCCTCAGTTAATTCGTTTGTGAAATGGGATTGGAGGGGGCTAAACCAGCTAGCCACCAAGGCCTTTTCCTGGCTCTAACATCACCCAGATCCCAAGTTATTATTTATTATGTATTCATTTGTTATTTGTTGTGTATAATCATGACACGGTATCCTGAAGCCATCGAAGGCTGTGTGACGGTGGAAGGTCTGAGACAAATTTAAGAAGAGAGAGGTGAGCTGGAGCTGAGATGGGTGGGCATGCAGGCTGCACAGGAAATGTCACCTGTTTGGAGAGTTTGTGAAGGCATGGTCGGGGTTGAAAGGCTTACCAGCCATAGCTAAGGAAATTCTGTCATTGTCTGTCCCTAACACCTCCTCCTCCCCTCATTCTCCAGTCACTCTTTCCTGAAGTGAGCCGCCCTCAGTGTCCCATTTTTCATGGCATCTAGAGAAATGCTGAGGTTCCTGCTCCCCCGGCTGGATAGACGCGCAGGATGGTAGTGCAGGCAGGTCCTTTTTGGGTTATCTGTTGCTTACTTGAAAAATGAAAAAAAAAAAAAAAAAAAGAATTGAGCCTTCTCGAAGGTGAGTGCCTGACGTCATGCAATTTGTTAGTGGTAGAATCGAGGTTGAAAGTCAGGTCTGCAGATTCGTGGGCCACTGCCCATTTTGTGACTGTTAGGTCAAAGTTAGTTTTTTTATTAAAAGATCCTTCTGAAAATTGTAAGCAGGTGAGAACATTAAAAAAAAAAAAATCTTGCCTTAAACACTCCCATCCCTTTTTTCAGAGGTTTCTTGGATTATCTGACCTCATAGGATTAATGGTGTTAGCAGATAACCAGATGAACAATATGGTTTGAGGTGTTTTTCTCCCCCTACAACATCAGTTTTGGCAGATCCATAGTGTTCCTTCCTTTAGATTACTGTTCAATGTTAAACTCATCTCATGTTTTTAATTTTTCTGTGTCACAGAACCTAAATTGGTAATAAATCAATAAGAAACAAATGTTTACATTCACTCAGTGAAAAGTATCATGTCTAAGCTCAACATAAATCGGAGCCACACATGGACAAGTAAGTATCTTGTGTGTGGAGCTGTGTAGGCAGGTGAATCCAGGAACTATAAGGCAGGCCAAGTTCTTACTTCCTTCTTCCTTCTCCTTCAGCTCTCCCTCCTCCACTAAGAGTGAAAAATGAACAAATCCCAGGTGAGTTTTTTTTTTGTTTATTGCCATTTTGTCTGAAAATGCGTTTTCTAAAGTTTCTAAAGGTTTATAAAACCTCATGTTAGCTCATTTGTATTTCTAGCTTAAGTAGCAGGTAGTCCTGGCTTTTGTTTCTGCATTTCCATTTCCATTTCCACCTAATACATGCAGTCTTGCTTCTTTACCACCACTCACCTGAATCAGTTCTGGAAAAGACCACCAAACTGTAATCAAATCCAGTTTTTGTCTTTGTCTTACTTGACCCTTTTGCAGCATTTGGTACTATTATCCATAGTCTCTTTGTTTTGGAAGTCTCCTCTGTTGTTGTCTATGATACTACCCTCCTAGCTCTCCTTTTCCTAACTTCTGTCCCTCATGAAGTTGGCTTTGCCTTTTGCCCCAACATTGCTTATCCCTGGGTTTATTGCTTATCCCCTGCTTATCTATCCTTAGCCAACTGCCCTTCCCAGTATACCTATTTTTCCTGACTGCTTTTATTTTTTTTTAAAAAATGAAATAATTAAAAATTGTTAGTATATTAACATGGTTTTAAAAAAAAATAAGTGATACAAAAAAAGTAAGTAAAGGGACTTCCCTGCTGGTCCAGTGGTTAAGACTCCGTGCTTCTGCTGTGGGGGGATGTGGGTTCGGGGAGCTGAGATCCCGCATGCTGCTTGGTGCGGCTAAAAAAAAAAAAGTAAGTAAAAATTCACACCCCATCCTCTCTGTAGCTGATGCTTCCTCCAGGTAGGGTGACATTTATTTCTCATCTAAACTGTGACACTTTCACTGAGAGTGAAAGAAGTTTTATTAACAATTATGCTGAGACAGCTGGCATATATTGGGACAGTCCCAGATGAACTGCAGTGTACTGTCACCCTACTATAGGTATACATTATTTCTATTTCTTGTTTGTCCTCCCAGTGTTTCTTTATTCAGTTGAAAGAAAATATGTGCTCCCGGCCTTTATTTAAAAGGGAATCTATTATTAGAGCTTCTTAAATTTAGATGCACCTGTACATCCCTGGCAACGTGTTAAAATGCAGATTTTGATTTAGTATATCTGGGTGGGGCCCTGGAGTCTGCATTTCTAATCAGCTCCCAGATGGAGTTGATTCTGCTACCCAGGGAACCACACTTGAGTAATGAGTGTATACACTATTTCCTTCTTTTTCTTCTTCTTTTTTTTTTTTTTCCTTTTTTCACTTCTTTTTTCAGCCTGTTCCCAGGGACCTTTCTGTAATAGAACATCTTTCTTTGTTAACAATCACATGGTAATTCAATTGCGAATGTTCCATAGTTTATTAAACTAGTTATTAACTATTTCCAACCTTTTGCTACTACAAACCATGTTTTAATTAATAGCCTTGTACATGTAGGTTTATTCTACCAGATAAATTCCCAGAAGTGAGATTGCCAGGTCAAAGGGTTGAATACAATTGATAAGCTTGATCCTTTTGGTGGGATTATAGATAGTATCATTTTGTATTTCCACTGGTACTGCATGATAGTGCTTTTTCTCCATAGCTTCTCCCATAGAAATACGTGGTTCACTTTTGGATTTTGGCAACTGATAGGTAAAAATTAGTATTTTATGTACTTTACATCTGTAATTATCTTAACTATGAGAGAGGTTGAAGATTTTTTTCATGCATCTAAAAGGTGTCTTATTTTTATATTTCTGTGAACTGTCTGTTCATATCTTTTGCCCATTTTGCTCTTAGGTTTCTGGCTTTTTTCTTTTTTTCAGTGTCTGGTTAGCTCTTTGTATATTAGGGATACTAATGCTTGTCTTTTATGTGAGTTATTTTCTGGTATATCATTTGTCTTTTGATGATTGTTCATGTTTTTTTTTCCCCGTGCAGGTATTCTGCTTCAGGATACCACATTTCACTTAGTCATCATGTTTCCTTAGGCTCCCCTTGGCTGTGACAGTTTCTCAGACTTTCCTTGTTTTTGATGGCCTCGTCAGTTTTTGAGGAGTACAAGACAGGTGTTTTGTAGAATGTCCCTCACTTGGGAATTGTCTGCTGTTTTTCTCGTTATTATATTGGGGTAATTGTTTTCGTGTAGAAAGACCACAGAGGTAGAGTGCCATTTGGTATCATCTTATCAGGGTAAATGCTCTTCACATGACTTTTCACTTTTCAACAGATGATGAACCACTTTTGATCACGTGGCTGAGGTCATGTGGTCAACTTTCTCCACTGCAAAGTTATTCTTTTTTCGTCTGTTTTCATACTATACCCTTGGGAAGAAAGTGGGGAGTTTATGCTACACCTCCTTCATGGTGGAGTATCCACATAAATTATTAGGAGTTCTGCACAGGAGACTTGTGTATTTATTAACTCAGTCAGTGTTTAATATCAATATGAACTCACGGCTAGTTATTTTTTACCTTGTTTATAGTCCAGTACTACCTTGGTCATTTTGTTGCTCAAATTGTTTCAGCTTGGTTATTAAATAGAGCACTTTCAACTGGTTCCAGGGTCTTTCTGATGTACCCCATTATTGTGTTTTTGTTTGAGTACTTCTTCTATACTTTCTGGTAGTAGAAGATATTCCAGGCTCATCTTATATTTCCTGCCCTAGAATTAGCCATTTTTCCCTGAAGAGCTCTGGTTCCTTTTACTGGAGCATGGTATTAGAAACCAAGATTGGGGGGCTGGATTGCTACTGGTTTCTAATTCCTTAGAGACCCTCTCAGCTGACTGAACAAGAAAATATATATGTATACTAACTCACATGTATACACATATCTATAAATATTTCAGTATGTAACCGTCTGTGTTTGCATTAAGCTAAGTATTATTTCACACTGATGTCCCCTGCTGTAATCATTATTACATGGAACATTCTAGCATTCTCCCCTTGCTTGTCTGTAACTCCCGTTTTAGCAATCTGGCTACCACCATCCGCACTTCCTTTACTTAACTGTTCAGTTCCAGCATACATGTATAAGTGATTTCTGAGTCATTAACCCATGGACTCTTGGCTCCTTCCAGTTTTTGGTCATTATGAATTAAGCTGCTAGAAACATGTAGGGTTTTTTTTTTTTTTGCGGTACGCGGGCCTCTCACTGTTGTGGCCTCTCCCGCGGCAGAGCACAGGCTCCGGAAGCGCAGGCTCAGCGGCCATGGCTCACGGGCCCAGCCGCTCCACGGCATGTGGGATCTTCCTAGACCGGGGCACGAACCCGCGTCCCCTGCATCGGCAGGCGGACTTTCAACCACTGCGCCACCAGGGAAGCCCCAACATGTAGGTTTTTACATAGACATACATTTTTAAATAGCTAGGGTGTGAAACTGCTTGATCATATGTTAAGACTGTTTAGCTTTGTAAGAAACTGCCAGCCAATTTTACAAAAGTGCTGTATCATTTTACATTCCTACCAATCAGAACTCCTCTTCTGCACCTGGAACTGAAATTGATGTTGTCATTGTTTTGGATTTAACTGTTCCAGTAGGTGTGTCATGGTATCTCATTTTTGTTTTAATTTATATTTCCCTAATGACAGATGATATTGAGCATTTGTTCATAAATTTATCTGCTATCCATATGTCTTTGCTTGACATGTTTATTCATATCTTTGGTCCATTTTTCTATTAGGTGATTTGTTTTCTTACTATTGAGTTTTCAGAGTTCTTTTGCATATTTTGAATGTAACTTCTTTATTAGATATATATGTTGCAAATATTTTCTTCCAGTCTGTGGCTTGACCTTTCATTTTCTTACAAATGGCTTTTGCAGGGCAAAATATTTTATTTTAAATGAAACCCAACCCATGTATTTTTTTAATGGAATGTGCTTTTTTCTGTTGTATTTAAAAACTCATCACCAAATCCAAGATCACATAGATTTCCTATGTTCTATATTGTCTTCTAGAAATTTAATAGTTTTGCATTTTACTTCTAGGTCTGTGATTCATTTTTAGTTAATATTTGTATAAGGTGTAAGGTCTGTGTCTAGGTTCATTTTTTTGCATAGATGTACAGTTGTTGAAGAATCATTTGTTGAAAGACTATCTTTTCTCCATTTAAATGCCATTGTGCCTTTGTCAAAAATCAGTTGACTATATAAAACAAACTAGTGAATATAACAAAAAAGGAACAGACTCACAGATATAGAGAACAAACTAGTGGTTACCAGTGGAGAGAGGGAAGGGGGAGGGGCAAGATGGGGTAGGGAATTAAGAAGTAGAAACTAGTATGTATAAAATAAATAAGCTACAAGGATATACTGTACAACATAGGAAATATAGCCAATATTATATAATAACTATAAATGGAATATAATCTTTACAAATTGTGAATCACTATGTTGTACACCTAAAACTTATATAGTAGTGTACATCAGCTATACCTCAATTACAAAAAAAAAAAAAAATCAGTTCACTATATATCAGTGGATCTGTTCCTGGGACCTCTGTTCTGTTTCACAGATCTATGTGTTTCTTTCAACAATAACACACTGTCTTGGTTACTTGTAGCTTTATATGTCTTGAAATCAGGTAATGTATATCTTCTTTTTCCTTCTTCCATATTACGTTGGCTGTTCTAGGTCCTTTACCTTCCTGTTTAAATTTTAGAATCATTTTTTCAGTGTCTACAAGATAGCTGGGATTTTTATTTGAATTTCACTGAATTTATAGATTAAGTTGGAAGGAATTGACATGTTAACAATACTGTCTTCTGATTGATGAATGTGGAATATCTCTCCATTTATTTAGATCTTCGATTTCTTCCATCAGTTTTTGTTTTTCTGCATATCCCTGAAATATACTGTGTTAGATTTATATTTGAATACTTTGTTTTTGGTAGTCATATTGTAAATGGTATTTTTTTCATTCAAAAATTTGAAATTCCAATTGTTTATTCTGATATGGGAAAACAGTTGACTTTTTAATATTGACCTTATATCCTATGATGTTGCTATATTTGCTTATTACTTCCAGGATTTTTTTTGCTTTTTCTTTTTGTAGATTCTTTGGGACTTTCTACATAGACAATGTTGACTTCAAATAAAGACAGTTTTATTTTTTCTTTCTAATCACATTTCAGTTTTTTATTTTATTTCAGTTTTTTTTTTTTTGCGATATGCGGGCCTCTCACTGTTGTGGCCTCTCCCATTGCGGAGCACAGGCTCCGGACGCGCAGGCTCAGCAGCCATGGCTCACGGGCCCAGCCGCTCCGTGGCATGTGGGATCTTCCTGGACCGGGGCACAAACCCATGTCCCCTGCATCAGCAGGCAGACTCTCAACCACTGCGCCACCAGGAAGCCCTTTTTGTTTGTTTTGTCTTGTTGTAGGTCTTTCTGTACTAGCTAGGACTTGAATAGGAGTATTAAGACAGGACATCCTTGCCCTGTTCCTGCACTTAGGGGAAAAGTGTCCAGTCTCGTAACATTAAGTATGATGTTAGCTTCTTCATTAAGTCGGGAAAGTTCCCCTCTATTCCTAGTTTGCTGAGAGTTTTTATCATGAATGACTGTAGGATTCTGTCAAATGCTTTTTCTTCATTAATTAATATGATCATGTAATTTTTCTTCTTTGGCTTATTGATATGTTGGATTATATTGATTGATTTTTTTTAATGCTGACCCAGCCTTCCATACCTCCAATAAATTCCACTTGGTTGTGGTTTGTATTTCTTTTTATACATTGTCAGATTTGATTTGCCAATATTTGAGAATTTTTGCATCTATGTTATTGAGAGACATTAGTCTTTATTTTTTTCATAATGTCTTTATCTAGTTTTGGTATTAGGGTAATGTTGGCCTCATGTAATGAGTTTGGAGATGTTATTTACCAGAGGAGATTATGGAGAATTGTTATTATTTTTTCCTTAAATGTACAGTAGAATTCACCAGTGATGCCATCTGGGTTTGGTTCTTTCTATTTTGGAAGTGTTTTAATTATTGATTCAGTTTTTTTTTTTAACAGAAATGAGTCTATGCAGGTTATCTGTATCTCCTTGTGTGAATTTGGTAGTTGTGTCTTTTAAGGAATTTGTCAATTTCATCTGTGTTACCAATTTTTCAGGAATAGAATTATTTGTAGTATTCTCTTATTATTTTTTAAATGTCATTAGGCTTAGTAGTGTCAACCTATCTTTCATTTCTGAGATTTCCAATTTGCCTCTTTTTTCTTGGTTAGGTTGTAGGTTTATTAATTTTATTGATCTTTTCAAAGAAGCAACTTTGAGTTTCATTGGCTTTTTGTATTTTTTTCACATTTTCAATTTAATTGATTTATTCTAATTTTTATTATTTCCTTTACTTTGCTTGGTTTAGGCTTAATTTGCCTTTTTTCTCTAGTTTACTAAGATAGAAGCTTAGGTTTTTGATTTTTAATCTTTTCTAATGTATACATTTGATGCTATAAATGTCCTCTGTGCACTGCTTTCACTGCATGGCACAAATTTTGATACATGGTATTTTCATTTTTATTCCATTTCATTTAAAATATTTTAAAATTTCTTTTGAGACTTCTTTGATTTATAGGTTATTATAAGTTGACTTATAGGTTATTTAAAACTTATAGGTTAGACTTACAGGTTATTTATAAGTATGACTTACAGGTTATTTATAAGTATGTTGTTTAATTTTCAACTCTTTGGGATTTTTCAGTTATCTCCTGCTTATTGATTTCTATTTAATTCCATTGTGGTCTGAGAACATATTTTGTATGAGAGCTATTGTTTTAAATTTGTTAAGGTGTGTTTTGTGGCCAGGACTATGGTCTATCTAGGTGAATGGACCATATGAGCTAGAATAGAATGATAGAATGTGTGTTTTATTTTTTTGGATGGAATATTCTACATATGCCAGTTAGATCATGTTGATTGATAGTGCTGTGTAGGTCATCTGTGTACTTACTGATTTTCTGCCTGCTCAATTGCTCAAGATAGAAGACTCCAACTATGGTTTTAGATTTGTCTATTTCTCCTTTCATTTCTATCAGTTTTTGCTGTATGTATTTTGATACTCTTTTGTTAGATGAATATGTTTCAGATTGTGTCTTCTTTCTCTAATATGATTTGAACCCATCTAATGGTTCTTAATTTCAGATATTGTAATTTTCAACTTTGGAATGCCCATTTTATGCACGTATGTATGTATCTGTGTGTGTTTGTATACTCATGTATCAGAGGTCCCCAAGACCATTACCAGGTTCAGTGATTTGCTAAGATGACTCAGTATGTAGTTGTACTTACTGCTATCACTTATTGAAGTGAAAGGGTACAAAGCGCAATCAGCAAAGGGAAAAGGCACATGGGGCATAGTCCAGGGGACACCAGGCACAAGCTTCTAAGAGTCTTCTCCCAGGATACACCTAAGTCCTCTAGCAGTGAGATGTGGCAACTGATGTGAAATGTCTGCCAGGGAAGCTCAACAGACACTCAGTGTTCAGCATGTTTATCAGGGGCTAGTCACATAGGTGCTTTCTGCTTAGCATATAACAGAATTCCAGACTCCAGAAGGAATGTATGTGTGCAGCAAAAACCATATTGTTTACACAAACAGTTTAGGCTCAGTGAACCATTCTTATTAAGGACTGCTAAGAACCCTCCTGAAATCCGAGTTCCCAGATGCCAGCCAAGGAACAGCCTTGTAACAGATCATTCAGAGGATAGCAGTCTCAGGCCTGCTCTGTTAATTCTTTCTCCACAACACACATACCACATATCTGTTGAACTTCTCCCATCCTTTCATTTATTTTGTTCATATTTTCCTCTATTTTATTGAACCTATTAATCATAACTCATTTTGAAGTTCTTGTTTGTTCCAATATCTGAGTGTCCTATGGGTACGCTTTTATTTTCTTTTTTTCCTTGGTCTTTGTCTCTTCATATAACATGAAATTTTTTATTGGATGCCAAACATTGTATTTAACAACACAAATATTGGTAGAGGCTCCAGAAAATGATCTCTTTTAGCAGAGAGGATTCATCCGTTTCTCTGTTGGGCAGGTAGAGTACAGGACTGGTCACTTTAATCAGTCACGGGTTGAGCTTGGTTAGGGCCTGTACCATATTAATTTTAATCCCTCTGTTCATTTTAACAACAGAAAGTTTTACTTCCTTAGTGACAGTTAACTGTATAATACAAAAGATAATATGAAAGAACATTTTCTTGGTAACCCCAGTCTACTTTGTGCATAATGCTAGCTCCTACAATGTCTAATTTAATAAATGTTAATGTGTATGTCTCCTTGTCAGGAATAACAGTTGTAGCAACTAGTTCCACCCCCTTAGTGGAAACTCAATTTGTACAAGATATTACTTTTTTCCTACATAGGATAGCATAAAAGAAGGCAATCCTATATACCAATTTTTAATAAACTCTAAAGAGATTAGTTCTTTTAAATATTTACCACTCATAGAGCTCTGACAATTTCATTATATAAAAGGAATATACTGTTACAGGAACAAGTGTCATTCAAAGATGTGTGTGTGGACTTCACCCAGGAAGAGTGGTACCTGCTGGATCCTGCTCAGAAGATACTATACAGAGACGTGATCCTGGAAAATTACAGCCACCTTGTCTCAGTAGGTAAGAATTTTTTCTCCATGTGAACAAGGAGCATGCATTTCTTAGTTGATGAAACATAAGAACTCCCTGTGGAATTTTCTGATGGAGATTCAAGGGATCAGATGACTGATCCCTTTTGGCCACTATAAAGAATGCTATATTCTTACCTCTTTAAGGATTGGTTCATTTAGGCACCTCTTTTAGGTAGCTCCTGAAGCTATACATTTCTTCCCTATCATTTTTTCAGAGTCCCCGAAGCCAGGCTGTTCAGCCATAGTCCTGTGTTATTTTCTTTACAGGGAATTGCATTACTAAGCCAGAAGTGATCTTCAAGATCGAGCAAGGAGAAGAACCTTGGATATTAGAGGAAAGATTCCCAAAACAGTGCCGCTCAGGTGAGTTAGTGAGTTCACAGGCAGATGGAAGCCAGAGGAAATGAGATCTTAGGGCACTGGTTTATGGTTTATTAACTTTGAACTATTTTTCCAAAAAAACATTTTTTAGCCCCAGACCTTTGGAAGTGATTAAGGACAGTTGGCCCACATCCCTTTGTTACCTTAATCACATTCCTCCATATGTCACTTTCACTCATAAATGCTTCCCTTTGTTATTTGACATTTTGGAGTGATTTACCTATATCCGTAATCCAAACTCATTTGGCTTCATCTGAGATAATTTTTCTTGGTTACTTTACCTTTTAAAATTGTTCACATTCTCTTTTAAAATTGTTCACCTTCTCTGTATTGTCTTTGGACATCTCTTGTTAGGTAGTATGTATTCATGCAATACTTCCATATATTCATTTAACAAATATATGCTGAGCGCCCAATATGACCCAACTACGTTTATAGGTAATTAAAAGAATGTCCCTATTATCACAGAGTGTCTATTACAGTGAGGGACAGAAAAGCATACGTGTGTGTATAGGTGTAGGTGTGTGTATGTGTACGGAGTTATACATGCTTGTATACACACACATGTTGTTGGGTGGTGATAAATACTGTAGAGAGTTAAAGCAGTGAAAAGGGGGTTGGAGAATGATGGCATGTGCTATTTGGTATGGAAGTCAAGAGAAAACCTTTTTGATGAGGTCCACAATAGACAAGTCTCTAATAAATTAAAATGTGAGCTCTGTGGATTCTGAGTATTCCAGACAGAGGGAACATCAGGTGCTGAACTTCTCAGACAGGTGTGCTCTTAGGGTGTTTGAGGAATGGCAAGGATGTCAGTGTGGCTGGAGGTGAGAAGGCCTGGGGGAGATTGGTAGTAGATGATGTCATAAGTAGCATGTACCATGGGAGACCCATTAATTTTATTTTGAGTGAGGTGGGAAATCCTCAGGCTTTTTTGAGTAAACATAAATCAGATTAAGCTATAAGATTGGATTTACAGTTTTAAAGGATCTCTCTGACTTCTGTGTGGTGAACATGTGGTGGGTAGATGATGCTTAGGCATGAGCAAGGAAGGAATAACAGGACACTACTATGTACTCGGGAGGAGAGAGACTAGTGGCTAAGGCTATGTTGAAAGTGCTGAGAAATGGTGGATTTGTACATATATCTTGGAGATGAGGCCAAGAGGATTTGCTATTGGGTTGGATACAGAGTGTGAGAGAGAGAGGAGTTGAGCATGATTCCAGTGATTTGTCTCAAGCACCTGATAACTTAGCGTACCATTTACTGAGATAGAGAAAATTTGGAGGAGAGATTATAGGGGAGTTACTACAAATTTTACATTTGGACACAAGAAGCTGAGGTAACTGTTAGAATCTGGTATTGAAAAGGCGATTTCATATATACATCGTGTGAAGTACATAATGAGGCCAGACCTAGAAGTATCCATTCGAAAGGCATCAGCTTTAGGTGGTGTTAAAGGTTGGGGCTAGATGAAGAGTTTTAGATTAGAGATTGGCAAACTTTTTTGTAAAAAACCAGAGAGTAAATATTTTAGGCTTCGTGGGCCACACATGGTCTCAGTTGCTGCTGCTGCTCTTCCTCCTCCTCTTACCTCTTCCTCTTCCTCCTCACTCCTCTCTGCTGCCTCTTCTGTTGTTTTCCCTCTAAAAACATAAAAAACATCCTGAGTTCTAGGACTACTGTCTTACAATCATAGTTTGCTGTCTCCTTTTCTAGAGAGTGATTGTAAATGAGAGAGGTAGTCCTGGGATGGTACCACTTTTACAAGGTGTGTAAATCCATTAAATCTCGTCATTAGAGGAGACTGAGAGGAGCAGTCTGAGGTACAAGAAAATTAGAGAGCCTGGTTTCCTAGGGGTCAAATAAGGAACATTCAACCATCCATTACTGCCTTAAATGGCAACCATGGGATCAGGGTATGGAACCCATTATCCCCTATTGCTAGTTTTTTCATATACTCCTGATATTGTTTTCCTTTCTATCTTCTTCATGTCTTCATTTTCTCACTTTTCACTGATGTCACTCAAAACCATAACTGTGTCTCTGTTCTGTCGTTCCTGACTTGATCTAATTCCTAATTGCTTTTTATTTTTTTACCTAAAGCATCCAATTTATCTTTCACTAGCCTAACAAAATTGCTCCTTATTAATAAATGAATTTACAGTCTCCTTCCATTGACTGTCACAATGTGGTCCTGTTCTATATATCTCAGAGTCTTTCTTTCTGCTCTTCAGAGTTTATACTAAAACTCATACTATATTATGTCTTAAATTTCACTTATAAATATTTTATCCTTTTTCTATAACTTTTACTTTTATTTTGCCTTTTCAGAAACTTAATTAAAATTGTAAATGTAAAGTGTTTAAACATTGCATGGTATATAGTAATGGCTTGTTATTATTTCACTTATTTTAAGTTAGAAATCAATTTTTTGCTGCAACTTAAATAGTCCATATTTTGTAACCCTAACCCACTAGTATCTGTATCCCCAAAACTCAGACCTGACCATATGACTGCTGCTTGGGGTTTCTATCATTGTTGAGATTTTGTTTTCCCAAAGAGAAGGCCCTTTCATATTTTTCCTGATTCTGATATTTTAATAATTACTTTGTTGAGCCAAGTTTAGAAGAGATCACTCTTTTTCATCCATTCAGAAAGCATTCTATAGTACTCTTCCTAAATGCACATTTCCTTATTTTGTCCTCATGTACAGGTTGGAAGTAATTCATATGCACATTACTTTCTAAGAATGATTAATGTACCGTGTCCTCAATGAAGTCAGAGGAAACAGGATTTTGGTAACACCTGTCAAGAGCTAGACTGTGGTCATGAAAAAGAATTTAGCATTGAGCACTGGATTTGTTTTATTTTACAGTGAATTAAACAGACAGTAACTTCTTCTAAGGCAGCAAGTGGAAGCTAAACGTGGTAGGGATGTTGTAGAGTTTGTTGGCTTTTGTTCTTTTATTAATATTTTTGTGGTTTGTTGTTTTAAATTAAAGTAAGTAGCATTTCCTGAAGGATGTCCAGGTCCCAAGGATAGCCAAGGCTGGAGGGTAGCTAATTAAGTGAAATGTGTGTTGTTAGGAATGAACAGTTTATGAGCGCTCCAGCTGGAGTTGCACAGTTTTTAATGGATTTGTGGAATTGTGATTTGAGCTCTTACTGTGAATCTAGTTTTTGTTTTGATTTGTGTTTGCCAGTATAAAAACTATTATCAGTTAGTCTTTGGAGCAGTGGGCTCAGGACTGTTCTAGATATTTTTTTTAACACGTAATTAACATTGTTGCATTGGGTACCAACAGAAAGGTATAGAGAAGAATTTTTTATGATAAAGTTTGTTGAAGGTCTCAGAACCATATAGAAAAATGTGATCATTATGGGTCTCACCAGTAAGTAAAAGCCACAGATGAGGCTAGATATGAAAGCAGAAAACCTCACTGTAAAGATAAACCTAGATATAAAAGCAGACTTAAAAATCAGTATTGCTTCAGAAACAAAATTGTTTTGGGGAAAAGTAGACTAGCAGACTGAAGTAAAGAAACACATGACTTGATGGTTGGGACAACTTCATTAACAGCTGTGAGAAAACCAAATGAACCTGGTCGTTTTGCAGAGATGGTCTGCCCCTCCTCTATTTTGTATTTCCTGTTGGGCATTTGTGTTGTTTTGAATCACAGCTAGATAGAGAGTTAGAGTCTGGGTTAAAGCACTGTCCCTTAAAACATGAGGAAATAGGTGCTTTCAGAAATTTATTTTGATGTTGCTATATCAAATGGGAAAAAGAGGAATGGCAACATGCATATTAGTGAGGATCCTACCACAGTAATCAAGGTGTGGGAAGATAAGGACAAGAAACCATAATCTGTCTCTGTCAAACTGAGTGCTTCCTCTAATATGTTTCTCAGACAGTCTATTTTCCTTTAAAAAAACAAAACAAAAACAAAAAACCTCCTTTGTTGAACTCATCCAGTTCTTGGAGTTTCCTGCTTCCTACATGAACAATGCTCAGAAAATCTCCATCCCTTGCTCACCGTGTCTTGAGTTCATTTCACCTTCTCTAGCCTGATGCTCTTACAGCATTTAAAAAAATAATTATTCCTTGTGAATTAAACGAAAAACTAGATCCTGGGCTAGCGGACAATTCTTCTGAACCTGAGGAAGTTGGTGTTTTCAGAACTTTAGGCTGGTGTTGATGTGTAGAGTAGAAGCAAGTACTCTAGTAGGAATCCCACCCAGCAATCAGTGTCTGAGGGGATTAGGACTAGACTGTTCTGTCTCCACCAAACATAGTTCATCCCCTGAAAGCCCTTGTCTGCTAATCTTCAGTGTCACTTTATTCAGTGTTCAGTGTCTCTGTTGGACTCACTCCATTCTCTTGAGCTTCCTGATTTCTGAATCAGCCACTCACTGGTTCCCTGTGCTTTGAATTTATTTCACCTTTTTCTGTCCAGTTTTAAAGGTTATATTAATAAAGTATTCCACTGTAGCATGTATTTATTTTCCACTCAAACTAGAAGGGTAAAGGAAATGTATACTTGGATTTAGTTTACACCAGAAAACTGAGCCTAAAACAAAAGAATCGACGCATAATAGGGCATTAGTGTAAAAGTCCAATTCCATTAGAAATGTACTAGGATTTATAAGACGTGGTTATTTTTCTCATTTCTAGAAGACTGGAAAGTTGATGACCTGATAGAGAGCAGCCAGGAAAATGAAGATGAACATTTTTGGCAACTTGCTTTCACCAACCAAACGTTAAGTACAGATAGTGGTGACAGAGTAAGGAAAACTTTAAATCTAGGTACAGACTCTGTTCCTTCAAGAAATTTTCTCTATAAGATATGTGACACATGTGAAATGAGTTTGAAAAATATTTCAGGCTTAATTATTAATAGAAAGAACTATTCTGGAAAGAAGCCTGATGAGTTTAATGTATATGAGAAATTGCTCCTTGACATTCGGCATGAGAAAACTCCTACTGGAGGGAAATCTTATAAATATAATCAGAAAAAGGATCGTAGCCAGGATCTCACTCAGCCAATTTTTGACCCACCTTTTGAATATAATGAAAATGGACAAGGCTGCCATGGGGAGGCAGATTCTTTCACAAACAAGAAAGCTCAGATAGGAGAGACACACTGTAAGTATAATGAATGTGGAAGAACTTTCATCCAAAGTTTAAAGCTTAATTTATCTCAGAGAACTCATTTGGAAATGGAGCCATATGAATGCAGTATTTGTGGGAAGTCCTTCTATATGGATTTAAGATTGGGGCATCAGAGAGCTCTTACAGGGGAAAATCCTTATAATGAATATGGGCAGATTTTCTGTGACAGTTCAGCTTTCATTATCCATCAGGGAAATTACACAAGAAAGATCCCCCATGAATATAAAGTAAGTCACAAAATGTGGGAAAAGTCAACCCTCTTTAGACATCAGATAGTACACATGGGGGAAAAACCTTATGAGCACAATGAAAATGGAAATACTTTCAACAAGAAGTCACATCTCACCCAACTTCGAAGAGCTCACTCAGGAGAAAAAACCTTTGAATGTGGTGAATGTGGGAAAACATTCTGGGAGAAGTCAAACCTTACTCAACATCAGAGAACACACACAGGAGAGAAACCCTATGAATGTACTGAATGTGGGAAGTCCTTTTGTCAGAAACCACATCTTACCAACCATCAGCGAACACATACAGGAGAAAAACCCTATGAATGTAAGCAATGTGGAAAAACGTTCTGTGTGAAGTCAAACCTCACTGAACATCAGAGAACACACACAGGGGAGAAACCCTATGAATGTAATGCATGTGGAAAATCCTTCTGCCACAGGTCAGCCCTAACTGTGCATCAGAGAACACACACAGGAGAGAAACCCTTTATATGTAATGAATGTGGGAAATCCTTCTGTGTGAAATCAAACCTCATTGTACATCAAAGAACTCACACAGGAGAGAAACCTTATAAATGTAACGAATGTGGGAAAACCTTCTGTGAGAAATCAGCTCTCACTAAACATCAGAGGACTCACACAGGGGAGAAACCCTATGAGTGTAATGGATGTGGGAAAACCTTTAGTCAGAGGTCAGTACTCACTAAACATCAGAGAATTCACACAAGGGTGAAAGCTCTTTCAGCATCCTGAACATTCTGAAGCCTTTATCCACTCTTTCCAATTCGTTATACAGGTTTTTAAAATGAGATTAATGAAACCCAAAGAATGCCACAAATTATTAGAAAGTGAAGTTTTGTTGTGCTTCAGATAATTAGTACTAGAATAAAACCTTATAATGTTTTGAATATGTGAAAGCTTTCAAGAAAAATTAAAACTTTCCATCAGAAAATTTATATTGAGGGGAAATTCATTTAAATAATATGGCAAAAACCTTTATCTCAAATTTATGTTGTGTAGTGCCATATTCTGGATGTGATGCCGAAATTGTAAATCTAATGGATGATACTCTTTTACAGTCATATTCACAGAATCATAAGTTTAAAAAAGTTAAATGACAACAGCATTAAACATTTATGTGAAGAGTCCTTGATGTTTGCAGGCCTTATGTGAGTATGCTAATATCATAGAAATTTGAGGTATTCTTGATATGTATATTAGAGCCCAACATGCTTGTGAAGAGAAATTCTGAACCCTTAGTTAAGTAACTATTATGGTCTATATTAATATTTCCCACACTAGATATCATCAGTGTCTTTATAGGTTGACACAATTATGTACATATGTATATGTAAATATGTTTATACACACATACCAACACACAGTGGTGTACTGCAGTAAGCTTATACTGGCTTGCAAGTACTGCTGATTGTTAAATTTTCAGGAATTTTGTGAGCCAGTTGTTAAAAAGAGTCATTATTTAAAAATTAAACTATATAAACTTACAGTTAAATATTAAAACAAGGTAATAAGTACTCAACACTCATTACTTCCTAATTACTTTACAATATTTTGCTGTTATCTTTGTTCTTTAGGTTATTTGTATTGTTGAATCTGCATGGTGAATACTGTATAATGATATGCTACTGGACATCTCTTCCCAGCTCTACATTCAGTGCCATCATGTTGGTAGCTTGGCTTTAGTGGGAGTATTTACACCATGATAATTGGCAAACTCTATAAATCTGGGTTTTGTTTTCTCAGAGAACCTGTAGTCACATATTTACAGTAGCACATCACTGTGTATTTATGAAAATACATTTGGAAAATTTAAAGTACAAGCCACATACCCCTTTTTCCGTTTTCTGATATAAATAAATGGCTATGGCCATTATTACTGAATGGCCTCTTGAATAAAGAAGCCAAAATATGTTTTTGTGAGGTTTTTAACTACCTCTGCATCAATCCTATTCTAAATACTACCAGAGTCTCTCTGTAGTATGGCCAGTATATGCTATTTTACAACCATATTGCTTACCTTTCTTCTGACTTTGCTGGCATATGTGAATGAGTGTGGCCATTTTTACTGAGCTTCCACTTCCATAAAAGAGCCAAACGATATTTTTCTGAGGTTACTCAGCTGCCTTGGGTCAGTCAATAATGCAAATGCTATTAATAACAATGATATTTACATAAATTTCGCAAAGGTTAACATCAGTTATGAACAGTAATGCTCACTGCATTCTACAAATAAAAAGTAGTGGTGTATAATGAAATGCCTCTGTCATATTCTTGGTGCTTCATTGCTGTATCTATTTAGGCATGATGTGTGTAACCCGAGTTGTATGTAACAAAGGAACTATGTATTTAATTTAATAGACTGTAATATACTGTCTCTCTCTCCTTTGTCTTAGTGTTTCCTTTGCTTCCTTGGAACACATTGAAAGCAGTTCCAAGAGATACTGCCCACCCAACAGCCAATCCCTACTTCTTAGTTGCTGGGCTGTTTTGTCTCTTTGTCCGTCCTTCCCCCAGATGATTTAGGGGTAAATCCACATTAGTCTAAGTTAATCATGAAGATTCTATTCTAATGATTTTGTTGGGATGGACATGTGAGCAGTGAGATATTTGGAAAATATTCGGCAGTGCTTTGGGGAAAGATCTCAGTGATAAAGTATTGTCATGACATGGGAAGAGATTGTCTCTCTTCTGCTGGACATTTTCATGTCTGTATGTTACACTAGATTATAGTTATGACCCTGAAGGACAATAGCTTGAAGATAACAGTACACAAGATGGGAAAAGCCTGGCTCAGAGATGACGTCACTAAGCTGCACAACTCTTTTTGGACCTGCTCTCTACTAGGAGTTTGTATTACTCTGGCAATAGTGGCTTCTTATTTATTCTCAGGGATGTCTGTTACTTAGACCTGAAGGCAGTCCCCTGATACAGATGAATTCTTGTCTGTGTTAATGTTCTATACAGCAATTTTAGGGAAGAATTACTTCTTTTGACAAGTTAGTATAGGGATGGCTGTTAGTATCAGCCATGGTTCTGGTGAAAAACAGAATTCTGCTTCAACTAAGAAGACTTTAGTGGCAGACTTATTACAGTACAGTAGTTTGGGCCAAAAACAAGGGATATTGAAGCACCTAGAGACTAGTGTCACCAGGAAGCCATTACCATTCTAAGTCCTTAAGGGGCAAAGGATGGAAGCAAGTGTTACCAGAGCCCAATAAGAGCTGCTCTTATGGAGGAGGGGCCTCCTCATAGGAGATATTGTCACTACCAAAATTTTGGCACCAAATCTCCAGAGCCCTCAGGTGCCACGTGCAGGTGAGCACAAGTGGGCTCAGAGAATGTAGAAGGGAAGGTCTGGGTGGAGCTATTGGAGAATAAGCATCACAATGTTTTTTATTCCTGTAAATTCCTATATAAAGGCTCAGTATTAGAAATAAAGTTATTCTACTAGTTGAAAGTTAAGTGTTTCTGCCTCATTGTGCTGTTACGTTGTCATAAAGTAAATTCCTTTTGGAACTGAGCACTGTGGCAGGTATGTCATTCCTTTGGCATATGTGAAGCAGACATGTTAAACTGATTATTCATATAGCCCTACATGCTGTTTCTTGTTATATGTGGTGTGAGGTTAGCAGCTCTCTGTTCTTCCAAATAGCCAGTCCTCTCTGCACTGTTTGATTAATTCATCCTTTTTCTTGTTGGCTTGATATGACCAGTTGGAATAACTGGTTACCCCCCTCGAGAGCATAATAAGACTAGGTGTTTACCTCGCATATTATAATGAGTACATTTTTGTGTGGATTTTTAATTGAAATATAATATTTTGACAATATTTCTGATTGACAAAATTCAAATGCCCATAAAATAAGACTCCAGTGTATTATAAATTCTCTATAGGTAGATATATATGGATTAAAATACATGGCAAAAGGCCCAGGATACCTGCTGAACTAAAAGCCAATAGTTACTTCAGGGGAGGTAACTGTTGGGGTAGAGTCTGAAGAATAGTCATCCGTTATACTCCAAAGAGTATTTATGCCCTCTTCTCTCAGTATGGGCCCTGGTTAATCAGCACAGTCCTAGGAAAGCTTAGGAAATTTCGCTACCTCCTTGGGCACCAGTCATGGCCACCATGCTTCTCCAAGTTCCTCTTCTATTTTAAGGAATGTGATTAAAGACTGACAAGAGCAGAGTATGTCTTCACAAGGGGCTTCAAGGAATTCTGAACCCCGTCTTATTCTTCAAGGACTTGGGCTTCTTTGCAGGGGGTTAGACAACTGAGAATTTTTGGCTGTGTGTTATTGGAAGTAAGTTCAGGGTAAGATCTGCTCTTTCACTTAGGGATAACTACCCCTATTTTGTAGATGAGGATACTACAAAATGAGGATACTACAAAATGAGGATACTACAAAATGAGGATACTCATCATGTAGATGAGCCCAGAGAGCATCAACCATTCCATCCTGTGGACTCCAGACATGCTCAATGTGGGGCATGCAGGATATTAAGCATCACTTCTCTACCTCCTCAAGCATCTGAGGGGAACTTGCTCTCAAACAGTGGTGTGTAAGAGTAGACGTCAGTTCCTCAAGATTATGTAGTGGCTATTGCAACTTTTCTACATTCTAGTAATGTAACCTATTCTTGTGAGCATGGAGTTGGCATTTACTCCAGATGGCACCATCTATTCCTGGCTCCACATCTGTATTCATCCAGGAATGATCCTTTGTTAAAATAGGCCAATGAGAACCCATCCTAGAATATTTTTATTGAGAAGTCATCGTGACCAGATAGTTTGTGTCCTTCTTGTTACCAGCAGCCATATCAAGAAAATATATCTGCAAGGGAGAAGGTGATGGTGACAAGTGTTATAAAAATAAAATGGGAAAAGTTGTCAGAAAGATGGTTTGATTTTATGTAGTGTGGAGAGGGAAAGACCTCATTGGGGAGGCCAACGTGGAGGAAAAGAGCCACTTGGATATCTGGAGGAAGTTGTGTGTATATGTGTGTAATACATACACATGTGTAACCTGTTTTTGTTTTTTGTTGTTTTTTTTTTTAAATTGGGCCCGTTTTCTGTCTTGAACTTGACCTCCCCTTGCTTGGTATGAGCTATCATCATGCCTATGCTTGGCAGGGAAAGGTGGAGCCATAGCCTCTGGGAGGGTTTAATTCATGGGTATCCTAGATGTCCTCAGCCACTACCCCTGTTTATTGCCCCCAGTTGGAGACTGCAGCTGTAGTTGCCCTGAACCTACCCCTTTATCTGTGTTTTTCTGGGGAAGGCTTATCCTGTTGAATCCGTTATTTTCACTTAATCGTCTGCCACCCCAACACCATTTATTAAATAGGCCCATTTCTCTTCACTTTTTTAAAAACACTACCAATATCATATACTGAATTCCTATGACAATCTTAGGACTTCACATGTTTTTTTACCCGACTCAAAACTAAAATATTTAGATTATTATAGCCATTAACGACACATCTTTAGATAAGCGTTAGTCTTTATTTTCACAAAACGTTTGGCTCTTCCCATTATTCCACATAAAATTTACATTTGTTCTAGCAATGGAACAAAAAAAATGTGAAGACACATAACTTCGTTGAGATTTTGTTTGGAATGTTGTGCCGTAACATACTTCATTTTGTAGTCAGGAAAATGATTTGTACCTCTTATTACTCAAATCTTTTAAACTATTGTTCAGTAAAGTTCGTTTCCTTCATATAGACTCTGCATATTTTTTATTTATGTCTAGATATTATTTTCTTTGAACTTGTATACCTCTTGACTATATTATCATCATGGACAGAAGGGGGACACTTTATATTCTTAAAATATATTTACCGGGGCTTCCCTGGTGGCGCAGTGGTTGAGAGTCCACCTGCCGATGCAGGGGACACGGGTTCGTGCCCTGGTCTGGGAGGGTCCCACATGCCGCGGAGCGGCTGGGCCCGTGAGCCATGGCCGCTGAGCCTGCGCGTCCGGAGCCTGTGCTCTGCCGCGGGAGAGGCCACAGCGGTGAGAGGCCCAAGAACAAAAAAAAAAAAAAAAAAAAAAAAAATATATATATATATATATATATTTACCAATAAAGATTTTCACTATATATTTAATGAAAAGACAGTCACACAGCATTATACCCTTTGTAAAAAAAGTCAGAGTTGGTGCTTAAAGTTAACTTTGAGAGCAGGGGTCTTCTTTTGGATTGTATTTCTTTTTCGGATTTTTTTCCATTTTTGTTTAATAATTTTGTAATTTTTCGAATCTAACATATTTTGCAACCCAGGAGAAACCCTGATGATCATGGATATGACACTTTTTAATTGTTGGCCTCTGTTTTCAGCTTTATTTAAATGTTTTACGTATATCCATAATTGAAATGGATATATTTGTGGCATATATTTGTGGTAGTTTTATGTTAGTATAGAGTCAGGGTGTGATTATAGCCCATTTTTAAACTATGTCCTTGGGATTGTAAAAGAGCAATACCTCCAGAGAGAAGAGATTATTTTGGGGAGCACTAAAGGAGGGATCATTGAGGCTAATGGATGCTGAATTCAGAAATGTGACATATTGGGCCTCTGATGACACTGGGGAAGGAAGGTGCAGCCCTTTGCTCAGCACATGTGCAGTTCACTGTCTCCAGCCTCCTAAGGCTCCAACCTTTGTCTTCTGGAGACCTGGTTCAGGACAGAGAACGGGAAGGGAAGTTTGTGCACTTTTGGGTTCTGTGGAATTTGGCAGAGAGAAAAGGAGTTGAGACTGGCTTACAGTGGGTAGGATCCAAAATTTCTCCAAATGCCTCTGAATTGGGCCCATTAATGTTTTAATTTGTGTCCATAATATTTTTGTGCCTACCCTGGACTTACCTTCAGATAAAGGCCTTTGAGGATAGGCTGTGCTCCAGGGTCTGTGTTTTAGAGTGAAGGGGAGGGTGCAGAGGAGAGAGGGTGAGGACTGGAATGGAGCAGGGGATCAGCTGTGGTTGCATTTGTTACTTTCTTTGAGGAAAGCTCCCTATGTCGGTGGCCAGATGTGTGCAGTAAAATGTATACGTCTCTATTCCAGAAGATCTTTCTGAAGCTGTGTACGCCAGGGCGTGAGGTCCATGAGTGTGATTGAGAAGGGTTGTTAAAGGCTGTCCGGTAAGAGCTGGGGCTGTGGGGTGTTAGTGGTCTGTAGTAAAGCACACGGTTCAAGAGCATAGAGTTTGGAGTTATTGTCTGCATACACGTCCAGATTCTATTACTTAATACATTTGTGAGTCTAGATAGGCAGTTTAACCACTGAAAACCTTAGTTTATCCCTGCCTAAAATGTGAATGACGGCGGTACCTACTTTATAGAGTTGTAGGACTTAAATAAGATAAGCAAGTAAATTCTAAATATATTTATTCAATCAATAGATATGAGTCAGTTTCTCAGTTGATTAGGAGTTATTTGAAAATCAAACAGAAAAAACTCTGTGGAGAGTTACATCACCAAGACGGCGAAGTAGGAGACCCCAGCCTTCCCCAACAAAGGTCAACAATTAGACAAGTTATCCAGGAACAAAAACAGCTGTGGGAGAGCTCAGGAATCCACTTAACAAACTTCAGCAACAGAGTAGAACAAAAAACCTGAGAAGAACTACTCAAAAAGGGATGGAAGAACCACTTCATTTTGCCTGCATCGTCCCACCCCGCTGGCCCGCGCTGCTCAATGCCAGAAGGACCAACCCAGCTAGAAAGAGCTCTCACTGGAAAAGGAGGAGCAGGTGAGCAACCAGCCTCCCCAGCCTTTCAGGGTTCCAGAGGAAGGACCCACTTCAGTTTCGCTCCACCCAGAGACCGGCACAGGTGAGATGTATAGAGGTAGCTAGGAACACGGAAGAAGAACAGAGGCTACCAGTATCACCCACACAGCAGTAGCAACCACGGTTCCCAGTGACCTGTTCTGCAGAGGATCCCTGCAGCTTTCCCACTGAAGAAACCAATAGGCAGCACAGCCACAGACTCCCTGCAGGTGTCACCCGTTTTTGCCCAACAGGTATTTGCATTTACAGACACCAGCTGCCTGAGTCCGCCTCAAGGCCCTTCTGCTCCACCACCGTCCACCAGAGCCTGAGATCCAAGCAGCAGCTACTGAAGGCCTCCGCAGCTGCAGGAGTGCAAGGCACCAGTCTAGCCCTCACAGCTAACCCCCACCACCATATGCACCCTTGGGGTTACCTCCTCCAGCTGTGCATTTGCATGCTGCCAGCCCGACTCTTGTCAGCAGCTTCCATTGCCATGTGCACACCTGGTATGCCGTCCCGCGGCCATGGAAGTGCATGTTGTCAGCCAAGGTCCCCATAAATGCTGGTGGGCCTGGATTCAGCCGTATCTCAAGTCACTGGCCTGCACCACTGGGCTCACAGGCAGCTAGGCCCACTGCCAGCTGTGCACCTGCACTTCCCTGGCCTGAACTTTGTCACTAACATCCGCTGCTGTGTGCCTGTGGCAATACCTTATGGCCACAAGAGTGCACGGCAACAGGGCCCCATTAACTGTATCGGGGCCCAGATTCGGCCCTCTCTCGCCACTGGTCTGCACCACTGGGCTCACCTGCAGCTACCCCTGCAGCTGTGCACCTGCACGCTCCTGGCCTGACTCCCTTCATTGGCCTCACTGCCATGCAAGTGCCTGTGGAGACACGCTGCAGCCCCAGGAGTGCACACCGACAGCCAGGGGCCCCATGGCAGCCAGTGTGCCCACAGTTGGCCGAGGTCCTTGTTTCTGGCCCTGGTCCTCACCACTCTGTGTCTGCAACCAACCCCTGCCACTTCACAGCAACTGCGGCCGGCCCCAGAGCTGAATGTATGCGTGCCACTGGCTCTGGCCACCACTGCTGCCTGCCCTGATCCTTAGCTGCTGGACCTGGAGGTGCTGCTGAGAGCCCTATCAGTCCTTGCAGCCACTGGGGACCCCCACAGCACTCACCAAGGGCCACATAGTTGCCAGTGCCCTGCCCCCAGTGGCCTGAGCCAGTGAGACATCACACCTCCCCTCCACCAAGCCAGAGCTGCCACACACTCTTAGCACTTGGCACCCTGCACCAGTAAACCTGCATCACAGAACATTCTGGCATGTCCCCACTCACAGGTGATAGTCTTTCCTTACTAAAGTCAGTCCATAACGTCTGCAAGAGGTGACTGCTTGTTCATATGTACAAACACCTATGCAAGGATACAGGGATCAGGAAAAATTAGGGAAATATGACAATACCAAAGGAACACAGTAAACTTACAGTAACTGACCCCAAAGAAATAGAGATTCATGAATTGCTTGATTATTCAAAATAATTGTTCTAAATATCCTCAGAGAGCTGTAAGAGAACACAGATTAAGAATTTAGTGAAATCAGGAAAATAGTACAAAATCAAATTGAGAAGTTCAATGAAGAGAAAACATGAAAAAAAACCACAACAAGATTTTAGTTGAACAACACAATGACTGAAGAATTGAATAGCTTCACCAGCAGACTGGATTTTAAAGAAGAAAGAATAAATGAACCCCCCAAAAAGAAAAAATATCACTTGTAATTTATCCAGTCAGAGGAGAAAACAAAAAAAGAGTGAAGAAAGACTATGGGACTAATGGGACACCATTAAGTGAAACAATGTATACATCACTGGAGACCCAGGAGAAGAGGGAGAAAGAGACAGAAAGCTTATTTAAAGAAATAATGGGGCTTCCCTGGTGGCGCAGCGGTTAAGAATCTGCCTGCCAATGCAGGTGACATGGGTTCGATCCCTGGTCTGGGAAGATCCCACATGCCATGGAGCAACTAATCCCATGTGCCACAACTGCTGAGCCTGCACTCTAGAGTCCACAAGCCACAACTACAGAAAGCCTGTGCGCAGCAACGAGGACCCAACGCAGCCAAAAATAAATAAAATAAATGAATGGAAGGGAGGGAGGGAGGAAGGAAGGAAGGAAGGAAATAATGGCAGGACTTCCCTGGTGGTGCAGTGGTTAAGAATCTGCCTGCCAATGCAGGAGACATGGGTTCAAGCCCTGGTCCAGGAAGATCCCACATGCTGTGGAGCAGCGAAGCCCATGTGCCACAACTACTGAGCTGTGATCTAGATCCTGCTAGCCACAACTACTGAAGCCCACATGCCTAGAGCCTGTGCTCCGCAGCAAGAAAAGCCACCACAATGAGAAGACTGCGTACCGCAATGAAGAATAGCCCCCGCTCACTGCAACTAGAGAAAGCCCACGCACAGCAACGAAGACCCCACGCAGCCAAATATAAATAAATAAATTTATTTATTTATTTATCTATTTATTTTTTAAAAAAAGAAATAATGGCTGGAAACTTCCCAAACCAAGAGAGAGATTTGGACAGCCAGTTACATGAAGCTAATAGATCACCCCATAATTTCTATCCAAAATAATGTTTTCCAAGACACATTATAATAAAACTGCCAAAAATCAAAGCCAAAGAGATAATTTAAAAAGCAACAAGAGAAAAAAATTTTCTCTCATACAAGGAAACCATCATAAAGCTATCAGTGGATCTTTCAACAGAAACCTTGCAAGCCAGGACTGAGTAGGATGATACACTTGAAGTGCTGAAAAAAAAAAGCTGCCAATCAGGAATACTTTACCCAGCAAAACTGTCCTTCAGAAATGAAGGCACGATACTCTCCCAAACAAAAGCTGAGGGAATTCATTACCAATAGAAGGAGTTATTCAAGTACAAACAAAAGGTGCTAATTAATAACATGAAAATACACAACACACTGGTAAATATAAGTATTCTAAGTCAGACTTAGAATACTCTAACACTATAATATGGTGGTGTGTTAAACATTTAACTCTAGTACAAAGCTTAAAGGACAACAGCATTGAAAATAGCTATAGCTATAATAGTAAATGGATATACAGTACAAAAATGTAAATTGACAACAACATAAAATGGGACGGATAAAGAAGTATAGCTTTTATATGCGATGGAAGTTCAGTTGTTTTGAGCTTAAAATAAACTGTCATGTCAATAAAATGTTTCAAGTAAGCCTCATGGGAACCACAAAACAGAAACCTATAGTAGATACACTCAAGATAAAGAAAAGGGAATCAAAGTATACTTTATGCAAAAGAATGAAATTGGGCTGTGTTTATGCAAAAGAATGAAACTAGACCCCTATCTTACAACACTCACAAAAATAAAAATGGATTAAAGTCTTAAACATAAGACGTGAAACTGTAAAACTCCCAGGTGAATGCATAGAGAAAGAGCTCCTTGGCACTGGCAATGATTCTTTGGATAAGACACCTGAAGCACAAGCAACAAAAGAAAAAATCAACAAGTAGGACCGCATCAAGCTAAAAAGCTTCTGCACAACCAAAGAAACAAAATGAACCAGCAAACTATGGAATGGGGGGAAATATTTGCAAATCATATATCTGGTAAGGGGTTCATATCCAAAATATATTAGGAACTCACACAACACAATGGCCAAAAAACAAAACAAAACAAAAAAAACCCCAAACAATTCGATTTTAAAATGGGCAGAGGAACTGAATAGACATTTCTCCAAAAAAGACATACAAATGATGTCGAAAAGGTGCTCAGCCTCACTAATCATCAGGGAAAATCAAGACAAAATGACAATGGCATATCACCTCACACTTGTTAGAATGAATCTTATCAAAAAGACAGTTAACAAATGATGCTGGTGAGGATGTGGAGGAAAGGGTAGTCTGGTGCACTGCTGGTGGGAATATAAATTGGTAAGGCTACTAAGGAAAACAGTACAGAGATTCCTCAAAGTGTTAAAAATAGAACTACCGTATGATCCATAAACCCCACTCATTGTATATCCAGAGGAAATGAAATCACTATCTCAAAGAGATACTTGCACTCCCATGTTCGTTGCAGCATTATTCACAATAGCCAAAATACACAAACAACCTAGGTGTCCACTGACAGATGAATAAACAGAAAATACAGAAATAATTTATACATATTATATATATATACATACATACATACAATGAGTTATTATTCAACCATTAAAAAAGAAGAAAATCCTGCCATTGAAACAACACTGATAGACCTTGAGGGCATTAGGCTAAGTGAAATAAGTCGACAGTGAAGGACAAATACTGTATGTTCTCACCTATATGTGGAATCTAAAAACTCATAGAGGGCTTCCCTGGCGGTGCAGTGGTTGAGAGTCCGCCTGCCGATGTAGGGGACACGGGTTTGTGCCCCGGTCCGGGAAGTTCCCACATGACGCGGAGCGGCTGGGCCCGTGAGCCATGGCCGGTGATCCTGCGCGTCCGGAGCCTGTGCTCCGCAACGGCAGAGGCCACAACAGTGAGAGGCCCGCGTACCGCAAAAAAAATAAAATAAAATAAAAATAAAAACTCATAGAAACAGTGTGGAATGGTAGTTGCCAGGGGCTGAAAGGTGGGGGAAATGGGGAGATGTTGGGCAAAGGGTACAAACTCATTCATAAGATAAGTTCCATGAGTCTAAGGAAGAGCATGGGGACTTTATAGTCAACCATATTGTACTGTATAATTGAAAGTTGCTATGAGAGCATAGCTTCATTGTTCTCACCATAACAACAAAATGGTAATTAATGTTAAGTGAAGAATGTGTTAACTAACCTTACTGTGGTATACATTTTGTAATATACAAGTGTATCAAATCATCATGTTGTACACCTTAATCGTACACAATGTTATATGTCAATTATATCTCAATAAAGCTCGGAAAAACCTCTGTCTTCTTATAGAGCTTATTTTCTAATGGGGACAACAAAAGTACAAACAGGTACTTATGACTCACTCCACAGATCCACTCCCACATGAAGCAAGCAAAACTGATGAAAAAAAATTATTTTTAAAGTAAGGTCTCTGGAAATTGTCCTAAAGGCATATGGCAAAAAAGAAACATTCAAGAAAATCTACTTAAAACACATTAAGAACAGCAAGAGTTTGTCATATTTGAACTTCAACTAGCTCCCCTGCCCCCCAGCTCAGTGTGACAGTAACTCCAGTCACGTGCAGCCAAAAGAACAGCTGTCTTGCCTCCCAGCTCCCAGACGCATGCAATGGCATCTATTGTGGCGTCTCCCGTTGCGGAGCGGACGCGCAGGCTCAGCAGCCATGGCTCACGGGGCCAGCCGCTCCGTGGCACGTAGGATCTTCCCAGACCAGGGCACGAACCCATGTCCCTTGCATCGGCAAGTGGACTCTCAACCACTGCGCCACCAGGGAAGCCCCAGCAACCTCTTTTAGAGGCTGCCTTGTAGGCGAGTGCCATTTAAAGAGAAGTCAAGAGCTCCTGTTCCTCCAGACCCCACTCCTGTTTCAGGTGTACCATGCTGAGAATACTGAAGTCCCAGTCACCCTCATTTTGACTAAGTAGGGTAGAAGTTCCAGGCCAAAAGGGAAATGAGAAGACCACAGGCTACTATGCCCATATGGCACTATGCTCCTAAAATACCGGTGTCACAGAGAGAAGAATGCCGCTGTATCCACTCCTATATCTGGGGCATGCCTCAGAGATTTTTGCCAAGGGGGGAAAGGCAGGTCATAGAATCAAGAGGTCCAAAGCTCTCTCCAAGGTACTGACTTTATTTAAAAGAGTGTACAGGATGGTTAAGCCTAAAGGCACTTAAAAATCAGTGAAGGTATGGTGAAAAGCAATTAAAAAGAGGCTGGTAGTTTCATGAGAGATCTAAGCTAAACCACAGAACAGGTAGTTTACTAGAGAGAAGCAAGGAAAAGACGAGTAAGAGTCTACCTGAGATCAAAATGAGCCCCAAATACCTCAAAAACTTTTCACAGAAAGGCTTTAGTAGTAAATTGCAGTTAATTTAAGTCAATTTTAGTTATTAGCATAGTAGTGGTTATCCATTCCCCACTTCCTAGTCCTGTGGCAGTCAGCTATTCACATGTTCCTGGAGCATGCAGGTTGCAGGAGCCTTGCATGCAGCTTGCAGGAGACAGCGTGGACATTAAGAACCCTGTCCTCTAAATATGAGGGATTTGTGCTCTGTTTGCTCACTGCTGCTTCTGATTGTGGAGAGGCAGACACAGAGACAGGCAGCCACTGTTGCACACCCCATACCACTGCTGTAAGCCACTCCCCCTCTGAATAAACTGACTTCTTAGGATTTAAAGGGCTGGCACTCTTTTCTCCTTCATTTTTCTCTTTTTCACCCTTTGGGAGTCATACATTTAAAGACGAGGATATTCAAAAGCAACCACAAATACAGGAAAATTTAGAAAGTACCACACATGCCCAAGGAGAGGTGCAGGCTCAGAAAAGACTTGAGAAGACCTTAAGTTTTCACCTCACACTGATCCCAGCCCAAAGACATCCTATAACAATTAAACAAACAAATAACACACTTAAAAGCCAGGGAAGGGAGAAAATCTGATCTTCAGAGACACGACGTTGTACGATTCAAATATCCAGGTTTCAAGAAAAAAAAAAAGAAAAAAACCACGAGGCATACAAAGAAAGAGGTAAAAAAGAATTTAAAGAAAATGTCTCTGAGAAACACCAGATGGTGGGCGTAGTAGATAAAGACTTTAAAACGGTCTGAAACATGCTCTAAGAGCTAAAAGATGATATGGACAAAGTCAAGAAAACAATGTATAAACAAAATTGAAATACCAGTAAAGAGGTAAAAAAGCAAAAAGGAAAAAATTCTGGTGCTGAGGACTTCCCTGGTGGCACAGTGGTTAAGAACCCACCTGCCCATCACTTTTAAGAAAGCTTACAATTGGGCCCTGTACCATCTCAAGTCCTCTGTAGCTCCTCTTGAACATTTTTTGCCATAATAATAATAATAATTTTTTTTTGAATTTTTATTTATGTATTTATATTTTTGCGGTACGCGAGCCTCTCACTGTTGTGGCTTCTCCCGTTGCGGAGCACGGGCTCCAGACACCCAGGCTCAGCGGCCGTGGCTCACGGGCCCAGCCACTCCGCTGTATGTGGGATCTTCTCGGACCGGGGCACGAACCCGTGTCCCTTAAATCGGCAGGCGGACGCTCAACCACTGCGCCACCAGGGAAGCACTAAAGGTTATTCTTTTAAACAGATCCACTCAACGGCTCCGCATCCCACTGCGGTGTTTTGCAGTCTCTTGCAGTCCTGAAAGAACTAGCCTCAGTGAGCTACAGAGCCAAGCCACGCGGGGTAGAGAAGCCTCTTTCGTGCATAACCCTTTAAACCCTCCGGGAGGGTGTGGCACCAGGGTTTATGGGAAATGTAGTCTTACGTTCCCTGGCTCACACTGCGCGTGTAAGCCCCTCTGCCGCGGCTCGTCCTGCGCACGTGCAGTTCACTAGCCCCGGTGTCTCGCTTTTCCGGGTCTTGCGGAGAAAATCCTGGACCGTCCAGGTCTGCGCGCGCTCAGGGAGCGGGTGCTGCCTGAGTCAGAGCTGCGGGTGAGCCCGAGTTGGGTGAGGGCCGAGGGGTTGCGGTGCGGCTTGAGGACTGGTGGGAGGTGGCAGTGGGAAGGAACCCCGCGGTGTGACCCCCGGTGAGAGAGCCTGCGAGGAAGGATGGGGGCGGCCTCGGCTGCGAGGAGGGATGGCGAGGTCGGGGCGCCTCTGTCAGGGGAAGGGGCGGCCTCTGTCGTGGGGATGCGGACGTACGGAGCCCCGAGAGGCTGCCGAATCCACGCGACTGCGGGAGGGGGGGCGTGAGTTTTGTATCCAGGCGGAGCCGGGTGTAAATTAATTACTGCTGGCAAGATGATTGATCTACCTGAGACGAGATTTTCTCATCTGTAAAACGAGAGTATTGATATGTACCACACGGGGTTGTTCTGAGGATTAAGTTTTTACATACGTTTTGAAAATACGGACGTAAAGTTTTTACATATAGCACAGAACGTATAGTTGATATTAGCTGATAAGGTGTTTGGAAGATACTTTGCTGTTTTCATTAGCTGTTTTGTTTAATCTTCACAACAGCCTTTATGTAACTGTTTTCTATTTTGACAAAAAAGGAAAACTGAGGCTCAGAGGGTTCAAGTGAAATACACCAGGTCACACAGCCACGGTAGATATCCAGCCTAAAACCAGCACTGTATTCCTCACAGCACTTCCCGCGGGGCACAGGGAAACAATCCCAAAGTGTGTGGAGTGAATCTCACCTTGTGGTCAGGTATTCTGGGATTTCTTGCCATCTCAGAACCCTTGGGGCAGACTACATAATGTGTTGCTTGGACTGCTACACTGTCCAGTCTTCAGCATCCTCAGTGGCCTTGGAGTTTAGACAAGTAAGTTCTGTAACATTTGGAGCCCGGAATGAAACTTCTAAATAAGATGATTTTGTCCTTTAAGCCTAGGTTCCTGTTCCTTTGCAGGTAGCAGTCTTTATCCTGCTCAGAATGAGCAATGCTTTGCTAATATCACTACATCCAGAAGACCTCACCATGATGGTGAAAGGTCTGGACCAAGTTTCAGGAAAGATAGGTGAGTGGGGCCCTGAGAGTGGTGGGCAAGGAAGTGTTCATTCTTTGGAGGGTTCACGTGGGCATGGTCTGCAGAGAGAGATCACTAGGCCCAGCTTTTAATAAGCATACCATGCCTTCAGCCTCCACTCACTTTCTCCAAATTCTGAGCTGCTCTCCTATGACGTCCGTCATGATGTGTGCCCTCTAGAGTGATGCTGGCTGCTGCATCTACCCTGACATCATAGAATAGGGTCATCTGTGTCTGCTTCATTTCAAAGCTGAGAAACCTTGACTGTGAGTGTGCAAGTAACCTGCCCATATACACCCAGTTTGTTAGTGGTGGAGCCAGGAGTAGAAAAAGGCTGTCCATGTTATAACGGGTAAGTCACCCACCAGGTTTTATTACAACTCAGTTAGAAACAAACAAGTTTTTAAATAGACCTTTTCCTGAAGGAACTCCCCCATCCCTTTCTGCAGGGTGATTTCTCTGACTCAGAGGGTAGGCAACTCAGTAGGATATAAGCAAACATATCTTGAGTACTTTTCCTACAACATTGATGATGAAAATAATGGTTTGTCTTCTGATGTAATATTATTTGTTCAATTAGTCCTGAATTGGTTCTAAAGGAAAAATGAAATTAATAAATCATTAGGAAGTAAACCCAGGGTTAAATTGCTCAGCCAAGCTCTATAACTTGCTGTCAGAGTTGCACATGTGAATTCTCCCTCCACATAGTTCTTGCTGACTCCTCAGAGGCCAGAGAAACTTTTTCACACAGAGGGGTATTTAACCAGCTGGTAGGCAGAAGTTCTTAGGAAGCTCAAAGATTCCTAGCAGCCAGGTCTCACATGACTCACTCCTGTTTTCTTTTCCTATAGCTGTACATACAGCCTTCTCTGTACTTTCCCAAAAGGAACAGAAGAAGAACAAGTCCCCGGTGAGTTGTTTGTTTATTCATTTCTCACATTGTCTTCCATTGCAAAAATGATTCAAGATTAAAGTGATAAAAATTATTAAGGAATATATAGAGTTAACAGATCTAAAACAAGGAAAAGTCAACATTTAATTATATGGAGATAATCATAGTTGCTTTGTTAGTATATATATTACACATATTGTATAACTCTCATTTTTACAATAATAATTATGTGCGGATTTATCTCTGATACTTTGTACAAAAGGAAAATGCTTTGCTTTGACTCTAAGAATAAACAAAAGTAACTCTTCATGGAACATAAAGACTTTCTGGCCTGAAGTCTGAAAAAAATTTCTGTGTCTTAATGAAAGTGTGGTAGTTGACAACCTCACTTAACAAGCGTGAAGTGAATGCTACCTCTGTTTCTCTTCTCTGACTGTTCTTACTGGGCACAGGAGGCAGAGAGCCAAAGCATGACTCAGTTGATGTAAGTTGATGATTTCTTCTGTCTGCTTCTTGGTATGGTCTTCCTGTTGCCTTTTAGCAAAGCTTATCCCCACGCATTCCTCCTCGGTCCATTATAATTCTTACCTTACTATTGTTCTTGACTAATTTCATACCATTTGGATTTTTAACTATATTCGAGGATGAGACAGCCACTCCAAATCTGAAATTCAAAAGCTGAATTTTGTGCCTCGTTAAGTAAGTAATACCTATCACTGGCCAGACGTATTTTCAAAGCAAACTGTTGATTTCCTATAGGGTTTTTGCAAAGAGTTAGTATATTAGTTTCCTATGGCTGCTGTAACAAGTTACTGCAAATTTGGCGGCCTAGAACAACAGAAATTTATTGCCTCGCAGTTCTGGATGCCAGAAGTCTGAAATCAAGCTGTTGTCAGGGCCGCTCTCCTGCCTAAGGTTCTAGAGAAGACTCTGTTCCCCATCTCTTTTGGCTTCTGGTGGCTGTTGGGAGAGAGGGAGGAGATGGAATGGAAAGAAAACCAAGATGAAGAAAAATATTCCTTAAACCCTGTATCAGTCAGGGTTTTCCAGAGAAACAGAACCAATAGTGTGTGTTTGTGTGTGTGTGTGTGTGTGTGTGTGTACACATATATGCATATAACACATGTACACATACCCATATATATTCATACATGTATATATTCATCCATTTTAAGGAATTGGCTCACGTGATTGTGGAGACTGGCAAGTCTAAAATTTGTAGGGCAAATTGGTAGGCTGGAAATTGTCAGTTATAAATATATATGGAAGTTGAAAAATAATACAGCTAATATTTAGTACCGAGTTCCCCTTCCCTGAGTTCCTCTAGCTGCAGGTCTAGAATGTCTCCAGTGGCAGCAATGTCAGCAGTCCCACAGCTATTTCTTCTAAAACACCATTTATATTCAATTTGAATTTCATTTCTAAAAAACCCCTTTTCATTTCTTTATTGCTCCTTCATCTTTGTTGGCCAGTTCCCTGTTGCAGTTAACTGTTTTTGCAAATGTCTTATTGCTGAGAGACAAGGAGGCAACACAACTACATGCTTTGCTGTGTGTGGTGAATGCACAGCAACCAGTCACTGGCAGACTTTGGAAAAACCGACATGATTGATCATTGGTCATGATGTGTGTCTGTTATTTCGTAGTGATTTGTGGACTGAAAAACAAGCAGTGAAGTTTCTACTCTGTGCAATTACAGTTATCCTAGTAACTAAAAATCTGACCCGTGTTGTTGGGCAGGTGTTATTTAACTAAATTGTGGTGACCGAAATTTGTGCCTATTAGAACCATGCAAAGTTGGACTATCTGTATAGACATAAACATTCATACATACCTATCTATTAACTCAAATTTATAGATGCTTCAAAGTTTTTCCTGGCAGTGTAGGTTATCAGAGACTTAGGAGAACTCTTGTGTAAAGGAATAATCCCAAGATTACACATCATCTATTCCCTGAACAGACCAGGGCATTTTTAAAAATTTATTTACTTTTTGGCCATGCCGTGCGGCATGCAGGATCTTAATTCCCCAACCAGGGATCGAACCCATGACCGCTAAAGTGAAAGCGTGGAGTCTTAACCACTGGACCGCCAGGGAAGTCCCTAGACCAGGGCATTTTATATCACTGAAGCCCCAAACTCAGTTCTCTCCTGATTTTATGCTATTTGTTAATCCAGTTTGCATCCATACCGGTTTCTAAGCTTTCTGAGGGTAGAAACTGTTTTGTGTACTTTATATATCCACAGAAACTAGGACACTTTCATACATATAATGTATTTTATGCTTGTGTAGACATCTATGTATGTATATACACTGTAAGGGAGCAAAATTTGCCACACCAAAATGTGTCTCTTTGGCATGAGGATTAATTTAGGCTGATTATTATTATTAGTTTTTTACGTCTTCATTGGAGTATAATTGCTTTACAATGTTGTGTTAGTTTCTGCTGTATAACAAAGTGAATAGACTTTGTATACATATATCCACATATCTCCTCCCTCTTGTGTCTCCCTCCCACCCTCCCTATGCCACCCCTCTAGGTGGTCACAAAACACTGAGCTGATCTCCCCGTGCTATGCGGCTGCTTCCCACTAGCTATCTATTTTACATCTGGTAGTGTGTATATGTCCATGGTGTGTATATGTCCATGCCACTCTCTCACTTCTTCCTAGCTTACCCTTCCCACTCCCCGTGCCCTCAAGTCCATTCTCTACGTCTGCATCTTTATTCTTGCCCTGCCACTAGGTTCATCAGTACGGTTTTTTTTTTTTTTTTAGATTCCATATATATATGTTAACGTAAGATATTTATTTTTCTCTTTCTGACTTACTTCACTCTGTATGACAGACTCTAGGTCCATCCACCTCATGACCAACAACTCAATTTCTTTCCATTCTATGGCTGAGTAATATTCCACTGTATATACATTAGGCTGATTATTTTTAAGAAACGGAAGACTCAGGAAGTCTTTCTTTTTACCTAAAGAATTTAGATATAGGGCCTTTTCCTGGAGTAGAGCTGTCACCAGAGAAGCTGCAAAGAATGAAGGCTACATGTGGTTGGGGAAACTCTACAGCAGCGGTCCCCAGCCTTTTTGGCACCAGGGACCAGTTTTGTGGAAGACAGTTTTTCCATGGGACGGGGACGGTGTTCAGGGATGGTTCAGGTGGTAATGTGAGTGATGGGGAGAGGCAGATAAAGCTTTGCTTCCTTGCCCACCACTCACCTCCTGCTGTGCGGGTCCAAGGCCCGGGGTTTGGGGACCTCTGCTCTACAGGGCCTAGAGATCAGAGTCTATTCTGTGTCCCATTGTCTCTGCAGGCCCAGTAAACCTTTGTTCACCAAACTTTTACTTTTCCATTTCCATGTAAATTGCCTTCCTCCCCTTTGAAGTCCCAAATCACTACCACCAACATCCTTTTTTATCTTTTGCTCAAGATGGTATTTAAAGTGAGGGTTTTGGCCATTTTCGCAAGTTACTTAGCTTTCCTGGGTCTCTCCGCTGTATACATTTTATTAAACTTTTGTTTGATTTTCTTTTGTTAATCTCTCTCATGTCAGTTTATTTTTTTTATGGAAGTATAGTTAATTTACAATATTATATTAGTTTCAGTTATATAGCATAGTGATTCAGTATTTTTGCAGATTATACTCCATTATAGATTATTACAAGATAATGGCTATAATTTCCTGTGCTATACAGTATATCCTTGTTACTTATCTATTTTATACATAGTAATTTGTATATGTTAATCCCATACCCCTCCTCCTTTCCCTCTCCCCTTGGTAGAAATGTAAATTGGTGCAGCCACTATGGAAAACAGTATAGAAGTTCTTCAAAAACCTAAAAATAGAATTGCCATACTATCCAAGGAATTCCACGCCTGGGTGTATACTCAGAGAAAAATGGAAACACTAATTCAAAAAGGTACATCCAGGGCTTCCCTGGTGGTCCAGTGGTTAAGATTTCGCCTTCCAATGGGTTCGATCCCTGGTCGGGGAGCTGTCCCACATGCCTCGTGGCGAAAAAAACCAAAGCATGAGAAACAGAAGCAATGTTGTAACAAATTCAATAAGGACTTTAAAAATGGTCCACATCAAAAAAAATCTTTAAAAAAAAAAAAAGGTACATGCACCTCAATGTTTATAGCAACTTTATATATAATAGCCAAGACATGGAGGCAACCCACAAGCCCACCAACAGATGATTGGATTAAGAAGCTGTGTGTTACTCAGTCATAAAAAAGAATGAAATTCTGCCATTTGCAGCAATGTGGATGGACCTAGAGAATATTTGCTTAGTGAAATAAGTCAGGCAGAGAAAGACAAGTACTGTAGGACGTCGCTTTTATGCAGAATCTAAAAAATAATACAAATGAATGCATATGCAAAACTGAAACAGACTCACAGATACAGAAAACAAGCTTGACCTAGAGAATATCATCCTTCCTTTTATCCATGTGGTGTAGCACATTGATTGATTTGCAAATGTGGAACTATTCTTGTGACCCTGGAATAAATCCAACTTGGTCATGTTGTATGATCCTCTTTACATATCGTTGGATTCGGTTTGCTAATATTTTGTTGAGGATTTTTGCATCTGTATTCATCAAAGATATTGGCTTGTAATGTTCTTTCTTTGTAGTGTCTTTGTCTGGTTTTGGTATCAAGGTAATGGTGGCCTCATAGAATAAATTTGGGAGTGTTCCGTCCTCTTCAGTTTTTTGGAATAGTTTGAGATATGTATCTGGTAGAATTCCCCTGTGATCCCCTGACCAGGGGTCAAACCCGTGCCCCCTACAGTGGAAGCACTGAGTCCTAACCACTGGTCTGCCAGGGAATTCCTGAAGGGAGTTTTAAAATTACAGATTCAATTTCACTTCTAGTGGTTGTTCTGTTCAAATTGTCTGTTTCCTCTTGACTCAGTCTTGGCAGGCTCTGTGTTTCTAGAAATTTGTCCATTTCTTCTAGGTTGTCCAATTTGTTGGCATATAACTGTGTCAAAGCCTCTCTTACGATTTTTTTTTATATCTCTGTGGTATCCAAATTGGAAATGAAGAGGTAAAACTCTCATGTCAATTTAATTCTTAGAGCAGCCAGAAGAACCCAGAAGGGTGGAGGAAAATTTCTTCCTGACAACATTATGCATGAATTAATAGATTAATTGGGTATTTTCACTATGTTTCTCTTTGTCCCACCACATATACACAAAACAGGGAATATGGTAAACATATAAACTTTTTCTAATAAACTCAACAGTGAACATGGTGAGGAATTAGTTCCTAAATATCTTTTCTCTGTCATACAGTTGTGAATATTTCAGATTGATCAGATATATGCTCTAACAGGGATCAATTTCATTTGAGGATGTGACTGTGAACTTCACCCAGGAGGAGTGGGGTCAGCTGGACCCTGATCAGAGGACTTTGTGCAGGGATGTGACGCTGGAGAACTACAGAATCCTCATCTCATTGGATAAGCAGAGCTTCTCTAAGTAATAACATCAGACCTATCTTTTCTTTGTTACCAAAGCATATGGATCTTTTGTAGAGTTTAATGATATTTAGGTTTGGACACTAGGAATATTGTTTGTGTTTTCACCTCCCCATTGAAAGATTCCAGTGGGCTCCTTCATTGTGCAGTTCCTGAAGCTGGTCCTTGGTTTTTCTTCTGAGTTCCTGAAGCCAGGCAGTGTTCTCTATGTCCTGTATCACTTTCCACTATCAGGGCATTGCATTACCAAACCGGAGGAGATCTTCAAGTTAGAGCAAGAAGCACCATGGATATTAGAGGAAGAATTTGCAAGCCATTGTTACCCAGGTGAGTAATCCAGGGGAAATTAGATCCCAGGTGGTTGTTTTAGATATAAGCATCTTTGGAGCATTTTGAACAAGTCTATTTAGAGGCTCCATCTGTTTGGAATTGACTAAGGATATTTAGCCTACATGCCTCAGATACCTAAATTCACCACCAGATATAGTCTCACACATAAATGTTTTCTTTTTCGCTTGGCTTTTTAGGAGTTTAATCCCTATTAGCTGTACCTTGAATTTCATTCCTATCTCATAATAAATATTTTATCTTAGTTAGTCCCCTTTCCTCTAAGCATTCTCAGTTGCCCACATTCCCTTCTATCAAGGACTCCTTTTGTTTTCAGGAGTTAATTAATTAATTAACTTAACCAATACTGCTTGAGCACTTGGTCCATGCCAATCATACTGTAAATGAAAGAGATACAGCAGTGGGTGAAATAAGTCCCTTGCTCTCAGGGAATTTACTTATTAGCAGGAAACAGACACAGGAACCTGACTGCCCTGTGAGAAAATGATGTACACGGGTGGCAAGAGTAGAAGCAAGGAGACCAGTCAGGAAAAGAGATAATGCCATTGACTAGGTTTAGGGGGACAGAGTGTATAAAGTGATGGAGTTCTGGGTGTATGTTGACAGTGGGGTTAACAAAATTGGCACATGGACTCTAATCTACCTCCTCTAAATACTTCATTCCTCTGGTAATTTCTTAGAACAACATCCTTGTCTACTTGTGCTCCCTGTCACATTTACTGCGTAATTCTCTTGATTGGGCATATTTTACTGTGAATTCCACTCTTTGTAATTCATCCATTCTTATTGAACCTTTAGTTCTCTATTCCTGATGTTTCTTTCACCCCTTCTATCCATTTTGGAAGGTATGTTCGTGAAGGGCCACATAAATATATGTACATTCATTGACAACTTTACTCTCCCCTTTTCTACCCCAGTAGCTTTGATTACTTGGTTCACTGTCACCCCGTCCCCTCAGCTCCTCGGAAAAGTGGAGGAAATGGAAAAATTTATTTGGAACTTTTATCTCAAAAGAATGATTCTGAAACCAAAGAGTCAGATAAATAGTATTTGTGTATTAGCCCAATTTAATAAGTAGTTTAATTCATAATGTATGTTTAATTTTTCTTATTTTTAGATGAATTGAAAGTTGATGGCATGATAAAGAGCAAAGAAAACCAAGACAGACATTTATGGCAGGCTGCATTTATCAATAACAAAAAAGTAGTTACTGTGAAAGAGAATGTATTAAGAAAACCATTTAATTTTTGCATAGACTGTATTCCTTCCAGAAGAATGCCCAGTAAATATAACCTAGATGGAATCAGTTTAGAAAATACATCAGAGTTAACCAATAATAATAGAAACTACTCAGGAAAGAAATCTGATGATACCAATGGGTGTGAGCAATTGATTCCTGAAATTAATCATGAGAAAACTCATATTGGAGAGAAACTTAATGATTTTAATAAAAATGAGAGCACTTGCTATCATAATGAGGATTTTATTCAGCAACAGGAGAGTCACAGTGTGGAGTAACTATTTGAATATAATGAACACATTAAAGCGTTCCACGGTAATGCCCTCTTCATTACTCAAGAATGAACTCACACAAGAGAGAAACTCTGTGATTATGGTGAATGTGAGAAAACGGTCAAGGATGAGTCAAACCTCATGTTACATCAGGTAATTTACTCAAGGAAGAATCACTATAAACTTAATGAATGTGGGGAAACCTGTGATAAGTCAGTCCTCTGGAAGAAACGTCATAGACTTCACATGGGTGAGAAATACCACGAGCGTAACGTATGTGGAAAAGCCTTCTTCCAGAAGTCAAACCTCACAGTACACCAGAAAACGCACACAGGAGAAAAGCCAGCCCTCACTGTATATCAAAGAATTCATACAGGAGAGAGACCCTATGAATGTACTAAGTGTGAGAAAACCTTCTATCAGAAGTCAGCTCTCCATCGTCAACATCAAAGAACACACACAGGGGAGAGGCCTTATAAATGTAGTTAGTGTGGAAAATCTTTCTCCAAAGGTCAGACTTGACTGTGCATCAGAGGTCTCACACAGGAGAAGAACCTTGTAAATGTTATGAGTTTGAGAAATTCTTCAGTATAAAGTCAAAACTTACTATACATCAGAGAATAGGCTCAGGGGAGAAGCTCTACGAATGTAGTGAATGTGGGAAGATGTATTATATGAAGTCAACCCTCAATAAACATCAAAGACTTCACACGGGAAGAAAATATATGAATGCAGTGAATGTAGGAAGACCTTCTGTGGGAAGTCAGTTCTCCTTAAACACCAGAGAACTCATACAGGGGAGAAACCTTACGAATGTGTTGAATGTAGGAAAACCTTTTCTGAGAAGTCAACCCTCAGTAAACATCAGAGGCTTCATAGAAACCCTTTGAATGTAACAAATGCAGGAAAGCTTTCTGCCAAAAGTCACAACTCATTCAACATCAGAATTCATACAGGGGAGAGACCTTTTGAATGTAACGAACGTGGGAGAATGTTTTGCCAGAAGGCCTCCCTCAATGTACATCAGAGAACACACACAGGAGAGAAGCCCTATGATTGTAACGAATGTGGAAAATCTTTCTATAATAGTTCATCCCTCGTTAAACATAAGAGAATTCACTCAGGGGAGAAACCCTATAATTGTAATGAGTGTGGGAAGACCTTCAGCCACAGACCCACTCTTGCCACACATCAGGGAATACACACAGAAGAGAAACAATGTAAAGACATTTATACAAAACACTCCTCCCACAATTCAGAGCCTTTGGTATGACAGAAACTATATCTGGGGAAGAAACTCTATGCATGTAATGAATGTGAGAAGTCCTTCTGCCAGAAGTTAGCCTTCAGTTTATATCAGAGAACTCACACGGAAGAAACCCTGGCAGTGTTTTTATCAATATACATTTCATTTTGCTACTGAGCACATTGCTAGTCTGTATTTCTGAGTTTCTCTTGCATCCACGTGGGACAATGTGAATGAGAACTGGCCAATGGGATGTGAGCGTAATGACGTCATTCACTTCTAGGTCTGAGACATAATGGACTCCGTGGCAGTCCTTTGTGTTCTGTGTTCTCTGCGGGGTAGGAATGTAGTTGCCTTCCATTGAGAGGTCTGTATGCACTGTATCTTGGTGAACTCACACAAGAGTGGAGACTCCTGTCAAAATCCTGAATGCTTAGAAGGCTCATCCATGAATCAAACTCACTGTAATGGGAAAAATCAGAGTCAAGAAATCTATTGGTTACAACAAATGTAGAAAGGCTTTACTAAAAGGTGTGATATTTCACTGAACCTCAGGTAAATCAGAGTACAGTAAAACTTTATAAACGTTTGGCTTTCTGAAAGTTTTCAGTAAAACATACTTTATTATATTTCAGAGAATTTTTACTGAGGGAAACAATTTAGAAAACAGAAATTTTTGTTTTAGAAAAATGTTTGTTTTGGTAACAAAACTTTTGCTAAATATAATAAAATATTTATATGTATGTAGCCACTGTAGTACATGTGTTTTTGTAAAATATCACAAATATTTTGAATGAATCATGTATACAGCGTTATGTATGTGTGAAAAGTCCTTGAACTGTGGGAGACTTTTATATGTGAGTGTATTGTATAATATTTTCCGTGTTTAAAATTTTCACTGGAACCCAATAGAATCAAACTAAAACATCAAGATCCTTAATTTAATGGCCATTATGACATAATTATCATTGTAAATGTCACTGCAGTCTTTTATATTTTAACACTATATATATATTTTTTTTAATTAATTAGTTTATTTTTGGCTGCGTTGGGTCTTCATTGCTGCGTGTGGGCTTTTCTCTAGGTGTGGAGAGCAGGGGCTACTCTTTGTTGCGGTGTGCGCGTGGGCTTCTCATTGTGGTGGCTTCTCTTGTTGTGGAGCACGGACTGTAGGCGCGTGGGCTTCAGTAGTTGTGGCACATGGGCTCTGTAGTTGTGGCTCACAGGCTCTAGAGTGCAGGCTCAGTAGTTGTGGTGCATGGGTTCAGTTGCTTCGTGGCATGTGGGATCTTCCCAGACCAGGGCTTGAACCCGTGTCCCCTGCGTTGGAAGATGGATTCTTAACCACTGTGTCACCAGGGAAGTCCAAACACAATATATATTTTATGTGAGATTATATGTGACACATTTAAAGTATCATGCTACAGTTAACCCTTGAATAACGCAGGGGTTAGGGACACTGAACCTCCGTGCAGTTGAAAATAATAGTATAAATTATAGTTGGCCTCTGTATCATGGTTCCACATTCACAGATTCAACCAACCATATATCATATAGTCCTGTAGTATTTACTATTGAAAAAAATCCACATATAAGTAGACCCACACAGCTCAAACCTGTGTTGTTCAAAGGTCAACTGTACACACATCTTCTCTACTATGTCCTAGTGTATATTAATGGGTATGGCCATTGTTACTGAATGGTCTGTTCAGTAAAGAAGCCAACAGTATTTTTGCCAGCCACATGTTTCTCTAATAACAATTATTTACATACAAAATAGAGGCTAAGTTCACAATTTTTACCTCTAGCATAAGCCTGAATTTAAGAAAGCAGCTGTGAACAGTAATGCTTGAGAAAACAACCCCCTCTTTCAATATCCTGAAACGTTTAAATGGGGACCCTAAGTAGGTTTGAGTGTACCAGCCCAGTTTAGATGGAATTAGGAATTATTTGTATAGTAACATGCTATATATCGTTGTCTTTACTTCCTAGTATTAGCAACCATGGTATGGTGTAGAAGTTGGCAGACGTTTTCTGTAAAAGGCCATATAGTAAATATTTTAACCTTGTAGGCCACATGTGCTTTCTGTCACTTTTTTTTTACAACCTGTGAAAACCATTCTTAGCTCATGGCCCATTGGAAAACAGGTTGTTGGCCACGTTTGGCCTGTGGGCCAAAGTTTTCTAACCTCTGATGTAGCAGTTAAGAGCATGGACTCTGGAACCAGAGTTACTAGACTCAAATCCCAGTTCTTCTGCATATTAGCTGTGTGACCTGGGCCAAATCCCTTATCTGTTCTACAGTTCCTTATTTGCAAAATGATGATAATGATATTACCTACCCCACAGGGTTCTAGTGGAGATTAGGTAAGTTAGTAAATGTAAAGTACTTAGACCATTGGGTAGAGTGTAGTGTTAGCTTTTCTATGAGTAGCATAATTTCCTTGCAACAGATTTGTAGGAGCTTTTACAGACTTGGGATTAGTTATTCACCAGCTGTCTCTCACTTGTTCCATGCCAGCAGAATGTTGTTTTTGTTTCACTGTCCACCTTTCCTCTGTATGATACAGGAGATAATGATCTAACCTAATTTATTTTCAGCTTTTCGACTATGACTGATAAATAAAATTGTAAGATACAGCTGGCCCTCCATACCCGAGGGTTCTACATCTATGCATTCAACCAACCACGAATTGAAAATATTTGAAAAATAAATTCTGGAAAGTTCCTAAAAGCAAAACTTGAATTTACTGCATGCCAGCACTGTTTACATACCATTTACATTGTGTTTACAACTATTTACATATTATTTGCATTGTATTGGGTATTATTTAATCTAGAGTTGTGTTTACAACTATTTACATATTATTTGCATTGTATTGGGTAGTATTTAATCTAGAGTTGGTTTAAAGTACATGAGAAGGTATGCATAAATTATATGCAAGTAATACACCATTTTATATAAGGGATTTCAGCATCCACGAATTTTGGTATCTGATGTGGGTCCTGGAACCCTTTCAGGACATTTGGTCCTGTCCAAAACATCCATTGAGACATTTGGTCCCTGATCCATTAAATAATGCAAACATTTAACTTCATTAAAAATTTATGTAATTTTTGTTGTAATTCATGATGGATTTTGGATTTCACATTTATTCTTCCTCGTCGTGAAGTTTGGCAGGGTTACTCTTCAGTCGATGACCAACTGCTCCTGAGTATATATTGACCTGATTATTGGTTTCATGTTCGTTATATCTGCTAACAATTTTTATATGAATTTGATTTTGTTAGTATCGTTGTAAAATTGGTGGCCCTCTTTGAATGTGACCACCAAGAACTGGGTGATAACTTATTCATTGCTTTGCTATTCATCCTTTAACACTTCAGTAAATATCCAAATTGAAGGATGATGCACTACCATCAGCTTTGGAAATGTGTTATGCCAGCCTTTCACTGTGTTGTTTGTCCTCTGATCACCAGTTAGTACTGATGTATACACATTCCAAGCTTCTGGTGGAAATCTTGCAGTTTCTGGTTTTCTGCTTCTGCCATGCCTTCCATGAACATACACTCTCTGTACGTAATCCATTAGGTATCTAAATTTTCTTTTGCAGTCTCCACAGTGTACTCAAAAGTTTCATTTATAACTTCCATAGGCAAATGGAAGTTCAAACAACAGGGATGTACAGGTGTTACTGTACATTGTCATATACCCTAGCGTTAGATCCAAAGAAGACGTTTTTTACCACAGTGATTGTGTAACAAGCATCCTTTTACTTATGCACTTGGTAGGGGTAATTGAATCTTACTGATATTTGCAATCTTGAAATTCATCATGCATGATGAAGGGTTAATGTTGAGGTTTCTTTCCCATGCAAATTCAGGTACTTTCTCATACATGTTTATCTGTGTCTTCTCATCCTTTCATTGTCAGTGCATAAATCAGTGGCATAGTATAACCCAGTACTAGACTGTGCACAGTAAATAATTGAGTGACATGTGTTGGTGTCATCTTGAAGATGCCATCAGTGAATCTTGTTGTACTGGCACTGATATAGTGAATATTGTCATAAGTTGTGTAAATAAGAATTCTTTTTTCAGCTTGAGCACCAGAATCGTGCATAAAAAATGGTTTGCCTCATCTGGTCACTTGACACTCCTCTGGAATTTCAGTTCTATGCAATGATGTTGGGTTTGGAGGTCAGTGGGTTCTGGAGCTCCCACCATCTCCCCTTTGGAATATATTCAGGGTTTCATAAGCAGGTATGAGGAAACTGACATTGTTAATTCAGCATACTTCCTAACCAGCAACCCTAGATTTTTATAATCTTGTTCATACACGAACTGCATGTTCCTTGGGAGTGTCAGTAGTTTCCATCATATTCTCTGAAAAGTTGATAACTCAAGAATGCAGTTCAAATGAGACCCCCAGGAAGCTCTCAGATGTCCTACACTATGCCCCCCAATCACCATTTCACTGGTTCAGTCTGCCTGGAGAGCAAGGTTAAAGAGTTGGAGCTGAGTGTCAGAGCTTCATTTGGAATTTTGTGATCAAATGTGTGGACTCAGCAATTGCTCTTTTGACAACTTAAGTGGCCATGAAAAATCATGTAGATGGCTCCAAGAGAGGTTCAAGGGAATCCATCTGATCCTTCCTTGTCTTGTGATCTTTCTTAGCACAGAACAAGGAGCTTTCCCTCGTTGGCTCAATCAGAGCCCTTTTCCTCTGAAGTGAGGGATAAAGGACAAGATATCAGGTCTCTTTCTGCTTGAGGATAGGTAAGGACAATGATCTTTGTGTGGGCAGGATAGCTTTAACACCTAGAACTGTCTGAGGTTTTTTTCAAATAAAAATCGCAAAGATTTGTTCCTTCAACTTAGGAGAGATGCTAGTAACAACTAGGCTGGTTTGATGAGTTACTATTGTAAAAGTTGCATGCGAAGAGTTAACAAATCAGAAGAGATACTCCTCAGTCTGCCCTAGGTTAAATTTGTAAAGGTAAAGTGTTATTAATATAAATATTTCAGAAATTTTATACTTTATGGATATCTCTGGAGATTTGTCAGTGCCCTCTCTGTTGATAATATGTTTATAACCTTAGGAATAAAATTCTTATGAAGTAGTTACGTACAATTCTTCAACAGAGAAGTGTATTCTCATTCTGTTATTATTTGCTACAGATATAAATTAACCACAGCCACCAAGTGTCTGTCATCTGCAGGTAGTTTTTCATTCTGAGGCTTGCCTGAGCACTCTGCTATAAGCTCAACAGGTCAGAGTTTCTGTCTTCAGCAAAGGACAGTCATGGAGCCTCATGGTATAGTACTGTCCAAAGTACTTCAATGATGGATACTTCAAAGAATAGACTCCTGGTTACAGCTTCTGAGATAACATCACTTGGACAACTTTCAGACTTTACCAGTGGACTCAGGATTTCCAAGACTCTTCAGCCCAAAAGTAGATGGCCTCAGGAGAGCAGGCTAGTAACCCAAGACCCAGAGGAACAAGAATATATTACATTGGTTCAAATGAATTGATGAGAAAAATTTTATTATTGCTGTTCATAGGAATATTTTATGTTGTTTTAATTTTCTATTTCCTGTATGTTATGGGATGAATTGTGTTCCCCCAAAATTCATATATTGAAGTCCCAACACCCAGTACCCCAAACATGACAGTATTTGGACATAAGATCTTTAAAGATATGATTAAGTTAAAATGAGGTCTTTAGGGTGGCCTTAATGAATCTGACTGATGTCTTTATATGAAGAGGAAATTTGGACACACAAAGAGACATTAGGAGCACACACAACCACACACACACGGGAAAGTCCACATGAGGACACAGCAAGAAGGTTGCCATCTGCAAGCCAAGGGAGAGAGGCCTCTTTAGAAACCAAACCTACTGACACCTTGATCTTGGACTTCTAGCCTTCAGAACGGTGAGAAAATACATTTCTGTCGTCTAAGCCACTCAGCCTTTGGTATTTTGTTACAGCA